AAAAGGGAGATGGAGCTGCTTTAAGTCCCTTATATAGATTAATAATTATCCATAGTAATAATAATAGTAATAACTTTATTTGAAAAGGAGATATATTTAAGAGTAAGTAATAAGCATACACTTATTTCCAATATGGCCTTCTATCTATAAAATATTTACATATATAAACAGAAACAACTAGACCTATCACTGAAGGTGATTAATACCCCCACCAGCAACTTTGACTCTTGAACAATAAGTTGTCTGAAGAAAAATTTGAAATAAACCTACAGTAAATAAAGTACCATCAGCACTGTGTAACAAAGAATTATTTCAATTTATTGCAATCCCAACTATCTTGATCTTGATATAAGCTTGCTATACACCCAAGTTTGATAATAATATCTCATTCCTAACCCTATAATTGTCTGGAAACCATTTTTCTACTTTTAGTAACTGTGACCTTGAACCCAGGTAGTCCAAATGCAATACCAAGTGCGGTCTTCATGTAAGCTTTCTAAACACAAGTTTGATTACAATATATGATTCCTAACTTTAGTTATTGTCCGGAAACCATTTTTCTATTTTTAGTAATGGTGCTTGACCTTGGCCCAAAACAGATGCAATACCAACCTATGTCTTCATATAAGTTTGCTATATCCCAAGTTTTGATTACAATATCTCATTCCTAACTTTAGTTATTGTCCGGAAACCATTTTTTCTATTTTTAGTAACGGTGACCTTGACCTTGGCCCCAGGGGGTCCAGATGCAATACCAACCGGGGTCTTCATATAAGCTTGCTATATACCAAGTTTTGATTACAATATCTCATTCCTAACTTTAGTTATAGTCAGGAAACCATTTTTCTATTTTTAGTAAGGGTGACCTTGACCTTGGCCCCAGGGGGTCCAGATGCAATACCAACCGGGGTCTTCATATAAGCTTGCTATATACCAAGTTTGATTACAATATCTCATTCCTAACTTTAGTTTTTGTCCGGAAACCATTTTTTTCTATTTTTAGTAACGGTGACCTTGACCTTGGCCCCCAGATGCAATACCAACGGGGTCTTCGTATAAGCTTGCTATACACCAAGTTTGATTACAATATCTCATTCCTAACTTTAGTTATTAGTCCGGAAACCATTTTTCTATTTTTAGTAACGGTGACCTTGACCTTGGCCCCAGGGGGTCCAGATGCAATACCAACAGGGGTCTTCATATAAGCTTGCTATATACCAAGTTTGATTACAATATCTCATTCCTAACTTTAGTTATTGTCCGGAAACCATTTTTCTATTTTATAGTAACGGTGACCTTGACCTTGGCCCCAGGGGTCAGATGCAATACCAACCGGGGTCTTCATATAAGCTTGCTTTATACCAAGTTGATTACAATATCTCATTCCTAACTTTAGTTATTGTCCGGAAACCATTTTTCTATTTTTAGTAACGGTGACCTTGACCTTGGCCCCAGGGGGTCCAGATGCAATACCAACAGGGGTCTTCATATAAGCTTGCTATACACCAAGTTTGATTACAATATCTCATTCCTAACTTTCAGTTATTGTCCAGAAACCATTTTCTATTTTTAGTAACGGTGACCTTGACCTTGGCCCCAGGGGGTCCAGATGCAATACCAACAGGGGTCTTCATATAAGCTTGCTATACACCAAGTTTGATTACAATATCTCATTCCTAACTTCAGTTATTGTCCAGAAACCATTTTTCTATTTTTAGTAACGGTGACCTTGACCTTGGCCCCAGGGGTCCAGAATGCAATACCAACAGGGGTCTTCATATAAGCTTGCTATACACCAAGTTTGATTACAATATCTCATTCCTAACTTTAGTTATTGTCCGGAAACCTTTTTTTCTATTTTTAGTAATGGTGACCTTGACCTTGGCCCCAGGGGGTCCAGATGCAATACCAACGGGTCTTCATATAAGCTTGCTGTACATCAAGTTTGATTACAATATCTCATTCCTAACTTTAGTTATTGTCCGGAAACCATTTTCTATTTTTAGTAACGGTGACCTTGACCTTGGCCCCAGGGGGTCCAGATGCAATACCAACCGGGGTCTTCATATAAGCTTGCTGTACATCAAGTTTGATTACAATATCTCATTCCTAACTTTAGTTATTGTCCGGAAACCATTTTTCTATTTTTTAGTAACGGTGACCTTGACCTTGGCCCCAGGGGGTCCAGATGCAATACCAACCGGGGTTTTTCATATAAGCTTGCTATATACCAAGTTTGATTACAATATCTCATTCCTAACTTTAGTTATTGTCCGGAAACCATTTTTCTATTTTTAGTAACGGTGACCTTGACCTTGGCCCCAGGGGGTCCAGATGCAATACCAACCGGGGTTTTCATATAAGCTTGCTATATACCAAGTTTGATTACAATACCTCACTCCAAACTCTAGTTATCGTCTGGAAACCATGATGTGGACCGACCGACGGACCGACCGACCGACGGACCGACCGACAAGCTGACTCCTATATACCCCCCCTAAACTTCGTTTGTGGGGGTATAACAATTAACTGATCAAGTTCATCACCCAGGGGCATGATAAATATCAATTTTGCAAACATGCATAAGGTAACATTTTAGCTCTTGGCATTGTAGTTTTACAAAATAAGACTGAAATGAGTTTTTTCATATAAAACTATATCAAGTGACCCAAAGGGAGGGGCCAACATTGACCCAAGGGGTATGATTAATACCAGTTATTTTGTGGTTCACAAGTGATGTTACATGCCAAAGAACTTAGCTCTAGGCATTGTAGTTTTACACACAAGTCCCAGATGTGTTTTTCCTATAAAGTCTATATTAATCAAGTGGGCATGATTCTTATCTGTTTTGTAAAGGTCAATAAGGCAATGTTACATGCTAAATATCCAAGCTCTAGACACTGTAATGTAAACTTGAATGTGTTTTCCTATGTAAGTCCAATTAAAATCAAGTAATCCCCGGAACAGGGCTGTTGTTCTGCATAATATCTCATTATGAATAATATTTCTGCCAGAAAGATTTAATTTCATTCTATTGGTTCTAAAGATACAGAGGACACAAAATTTTGAAATTGATACAAAAAAAGACTGTGTGACATTGACCTGACAAAGGTCAAACCTCTGTTCTGCACATCGTCTCATTATGGTTAACATTCTGCCAAGTAGTTTCATGATACAGACCAGAAACGAAAACTGCTAACAGACGGACAGACAACCAGGTGTATAACATTATATGCCAAAGTTTTTCGAGCATATAATAAATATAGAATTTCAAATGACAGTCTTTCTAGTACTGGTTTATTGAAATAACATTTTACCATTTGCTGCATAGGGGTGTAATAAATTACTCATATTGAAATAAATTGTTACATTTTATAGAACAAAGATAATACTAAGTACAGGAACCACAGTTAGATCTTATAAATGTTTACCTTGAGAATATTATCAAATGCATTAGGAGTACAGTTCTTGGTGAGTAGTTCAGTTAGTAGTTCCTCAAGTGCTTCTATTGTAGCCTCCATTAGTACTTCTGACTCTTCCTGATCTAAATCACTCTTACCCTTTTTTGGTGTAAATCCACCATCCAGTGGTAGAGGAAACACACAGTCAGTTACTGTCTTTATTAAATCAAACATGTCTGCATCATTTAATATTGGGTCCAATTTACTGGGGGTATATATTAAGGAAACAAACTTTCAAATTTCACATAATTATTATTACATAACCTCTACATTATGTAGTTAGCTTACATCTAGTTTTAAGTGACAAAAATGTATCTCATATATACCAAAGTTTCCTATAAACAAAATGTACATTTTGTATAATATATCAATAAAACATTCTTTCTATAAAAACTTAATAACTTTTTCAGCAACACAATTAATGTTTTAGATATTAAATAAGAACCTACACTAGATATTTTATCAAGTAATATTTAAGGATACACAAGTGTTGTACAAGATTTCATGGCGAGAGCTCTTGTTTCATTACCAATGTTGAGAGTACTCTCTAATTGCATGTATGTTTGAAGGTGTGTCAGAAACTCTCCCCTGTTGGAGAAATTATATGTCTGTCCTAGATGACTGGGATGTAAAGCTTGACCTATCTGATCTACAGCTCGAATCAAATTCTGCTTCACACTTGTGTCCTACAAAAAAAATATCATCATTTATTCAACAACTTCTGTTACTTACTGTTTTAATCTTGTTCATGTGATTAATTAGCAGCTTTTTAGAATAAAATGTACCTGAAATAGGTAAACCATTTAACAAAACATTTACACCTAGCAAATTCATATATACTTTATATATATACTTTAGAATAAAACATGATTAATATACCTTCACATTAGCAAAGTGTGGTGTTAGAGATCTAAGTATAGTTGCCTCCATCCGAGATATGATGAGACTAGGTGGAGAATACAGGGCAACATAACCATAACATAACATCAATGTTGACTTAATTCTCTCTATATCAGCTTCTGATTTTGTGTCTCCCTATAAATATATATCAACACAACATTATACAAGTATACTAATGTCTCAGATAAAACTATCATCACTCAATACCTCAGACAAAACTGTCATAAAACTTAACTAAGACAAATCTCTACTAATATACTCTGAGAAAACTCTACTGCTACAATTATCCTGAGAAAATTCTCTGCTAAAACACTCTGAGAAAATTCTCTACTGCTACAATTATCCTGAGAAAATTCTCTGTTAAAACACTCAGAGAAAGTTCTCTACTCTTATACTTATCTTGAGAAAATTCTCTGCTAAAACACTCTGAGAAAATTCTCTACTGCTACAATTATCCTGAGAAAATTCTCTGTTAAAACACTCAGAGAAAGTTCTCTACTCTTATACGTATCTTGAGAAAATTCTCTGCTAAAACACTGAGAAAATTCTCTAGTGCTATACTTATCCTGAGAAAATTATCTGCTAATACACTCAGACAAAGTTCTCTACTCTTATACTTATCCATGAGAAAATTCTCTGCTAAAACACTGAGAAAATTCTCTACTATTATACCTATCCTGATAAAATTATCTGCTACTACAAAATTCTCATTTTTTACTTAAAGGGACTCCACTGAGGTTTTTTGACATGACAATTCTGGAAATATTTTGTAGAGATTATTACTCTATTTAATGTAGATCTATACTAATAACTTATGTGCAAAATTTCAGATCATTAGCTCGTTCCATTTTTCCAAAATAATAATTATAATAGTGAAAAATGACCCAAAATTGAAAAGCGTATTTCTTGTATGTTATTTAGTTATATCTTATTTATATTTCTGTTATCAGTGCTCATGTTGATCTATGTGAAAAATTAAAAATTTATGTAACCTCAGTGGAGTTCCTTTAAAACGTAATGACCTTTGCTTTGCAAGTTTAAACGTTTGTCATATCATTTTATGATGTTGAATTTAGAAGGAAATTACCAAGGACTATATAATTCTCTACCATTTTTGAGGTACATGTATTATGTAATAACTTTTACCAATCAAACCTAATATAGCAACCTTTAAATAAGAGATAAGCTATAAATATCAAATAGTGTCAAATACTTACCTTCATAAAACTGAACATTCCAGACTTTTTCTGTGCCATGTCTGTTTTAGTTACAGTTTCTAATTTAGTCAACACAGCATCTAAATGTGAGGTAGCACAGAATCCCAAGCTTACAGCACAGCCCTAAAATATACAACATACATAAACCTGCTTTTACGGCCCTAAAATATGCAACATATATAAACCTGTTTCAAACTGTTAGGGAATAAGTTAAATAGTTGAACTGATATTTTACCACTGTATGATACAAATGTTTTGACTGAACCCTTTCAGTATTTAGTAGCATAGCATATCAGTGAAAAAGAGATCTTTAAATATTAAGAGGATATTTTTTCGTTTGAGTGAAATATGGAATATATTTTCACGAAACATGATAAAATGCCACATATTATCACGAGCCGGGCTAGAAAGCAACTCTTTAAACGTCTTTGCAGCTGTAATGACTGAATTAAAGATATTGGTGTTCAGATTTATTTTCTTACTTAGACCATTTTCCATCATTCTAGACAGTTTTCAAAACAAAATTCAACCAAAAGTTTTTTTTTTTATATTTATCTTTTTTTTCTAACAAAATGGCGAAAGAAACCCCTTGACTCCGGCGACTTTCATATTTATATTTCATATTTATTTTTAACAAATATGAAATATACTTGACTGATATAGCACCATATTTCGTGGGTAAAATTAATAAAATGTCATATTATATCTCTTATAGTAAAGGCCATCTTTTTGAAATATGACGATGAAATTGAAATATTATTATGACATTGTGTCATGTCATTTGGTCATTATTAGTACGTTACTATGAATTTTGCTGTAAAGCAAGAAAATTAATGCTCAAATTATCAAATCTAGGTGACCTTAGAGCTTCAAAGTACCATATTTTCTGGACAATAGGCTACTGCAATGTAAAGTTTGCATCCTTTCAATTTTACCATTTGAGAAATAAAAACAATCATATAGGTCAATCAGGCACATATGCCAAGCCAAAATAATATATGACATTAAATAATTTTAAATAAAATACAGACTTACATTTGGTAATAGCGTACTTATATACTCTTTCTTTTTACTGATCATGAATAGTTTAAGGGTAATTATTTAAGAGCAGTTTTTATATATTAACTTATACCTTGAAAATTTATCATTTTCATTTCACAATTCTGTAAAATAAACAAGAATTCAGTGGAATATACGAGGGGTTATCCAAAAATTTGTGGACTTTCTTTGTTGCGTAAAATATATTTAAGATATTAATTTGAAATTCTTTCAATGCTTAGAAGAATTAATAACAAATAAACACAGAAAATTTCATGTTAGTAGCTTCTTATATTACAACAATATTCAATTTTACATAAACACATGTCGGCGACAGCGGCGCACTCCGAAAAGTTATGATGTTAACGTCATAATAATGTACAAATTGTGCTTCAACGTTACGCAGTCAATATCGGCGTCTGGCGTTTCTAGCGATATCAAAAAAAATTAATGAAAATGACGTCCATTGTTTTAAAGAATTGCTTAAATGCTATCATAAAAGAAATATGCGATGTTTAGCGGGTTTTCTACGTTAATTTTTTAGTTTTTATTAAGAAATATACGAGGATTTACTGAGTTTTTCTACCGTGCACGGGTGCCGTGTATTTTATTTGTGGTTACCGTGAATAATGTACTGGTTGCTGTGATTTAAACAGCTTTGAGCAAATAAAACAAAACTCAGTAACTGTTAGGTTTGTCTTTTATGGTTCTTATATTTGTGCAGTTCTTATAGTGCACCAAAATGCCTGTCAGAGGGGTATTCTTAATTAAGGTTTTCATTCTTTTTCTAAAATAAAACAAATTGCTAAAGGCCCAACTTAAAGATCAGTCAAGAAAATAAATTAACATATAAGCTGCATCCTTGAAAAATTATCTTTTTTGCCTATTGTCCGGAAAATATGGTATTCATTTTCCTCTGAGCTACCAAATGGCAAAAATTATAATTTACCTCTCGTTCAGTTTGGTCTGTATGTTTGACCGTACCAAACACTTGGTCCAACATCTTGTTCACAAAATCTTTCTTTGTTGATTTTCTCATCACAATTCCAATACATTTGTACAGAAAATTCTAAATTATACAAAATAACAGAAAAAGCATACAGTAATAGCCCAAAATAAATTTATTCTTCACTAATTAATTTGTAATAAGTCCTGACAAAAGTGGATTATTACAAAGAATCTTCAATAAAATATCAGGCACAAAAAAAATTCCCATTTAAGACAGGCGGATGACAAATACATAAATTGTCTACATCTTACCTGCTGAAAATACATTTGAATTTACTGTTTTTAAAATATGTACATGTAGTAAAATAATAAAGATTCTAAAGCCATTTTGTGTGTGTGTGTCAACAGTCCTTAGTCTAATAAGAACAGAGGCCTGAATGACTGAAAACATTGTAGACCCCATATAAGGGAAAGAAAGACTGAAGTTATCACATGAAAACAGAATACAAATCTCAGTTTTGGTTAATTTGATTGTTTGAAATCAAGCTTAACTAGAGCATATGTTAGACAGAAATTTAAAGCCTATAGATAACCTGTAGGAACCATATACATACTTGTATCAAGGGTTGACTGCAAACTGTTGTAAATTCTTCTTTATTTCATATAAATTACTGCAGCTTTAAGGTCAACTCTCAATATATAAAGTAGCATAAACACATGTCCTCACCTTTTCCTCAGAGTATCTGTTATACATAGGTATTTGATTTGCAAGAGCCTCCCCAAACTCTGCTATCCATTCTTCATGATCAACTACATCAAGAGACTTAGATAACATCTTCAACAGTAGATCCTCCCAGTTCTTCTGAGACCACTCCTCCTGTTTGTCAGGATCTATTTATAGAATAAGACTTTTATTTATAGAACTACAGTCGAGACAGTCATATGTGACTTTCCAAGGGACCTTTAAAAAGAGGTCACATATGACAGGGAGTCTCTTAATACAGATACACATTTCCGCATAAAATTCATTCAGCCATAGAAAGGTGAAATAAAAGAAATGCTGCCTAAAAAATCTTCTGTAGGTTCTCTATAAACAGTAAAAAAATCTGACACAAATCTTAAACCAGTTTGCTCAAGTCATTATGTACATTACACCTCAACACACATCGACTGCATCATGTTTACCATATTTGGTACCTGTATATATGTATGATACAAACTGTGTAATTGAAGCAGATTTGAATTAAGGTTTGTTTAAAGTGTACTGACTACTGGATAATAATTGGACTTAATCATTTTGGTCCTTAGGTGTTTAAACAGGGTACCTGGGATTCTTATCTGGAAAACGGACAATTAAAAGGTGTGAAAGTCATTTAAATCAAAGAAGTGCATTTGAACCAGACAATTAGGGTCGCTCATCACATATGACAAGGAGTCATATAATTCAGACCATTTATGTAGCAAAATATGTTGGGAAGGACTGAAACAAGGTCGGATAAGACAGAGGTTTGTTAAAAATAAGGCAGTCAGGCAGACTGCTCAGGCAGTCTCAACAGTATATTTTTATTAATATAAAAATAAGATTATTATTAATAAAATTAGACTTGAATACACATTATGTCTATAGCAAGACTTAGCATCTACTCAAAACAATTCATAACGGTTACTATCTACATAAAGTTAACTATTTGTAGAATGCCTGTACAGATAAACAAAAAATGTTGAAAATGTAATAAATGTAATGAATTAACTGTTGTTTTCTGTCTACAGTCAGGACTCATTACAACGTCACTGTTGGTTCCCAAAGGATATGTCAGTATATGGAATTTGTCAGTATATTGAATATGCTTATTCACTGGTATCTGCGAAATATGTATTTAGATCTATATTAAACATCTATGATAAAAAAAGATTTTTGTGTTTATGTGTTCACTTTATTATACACATTACATATCATACACATAATACAACAACTTTATGAAAATAATAACAACTAAAATAGTTAAAGATTGATATAAAAATGATAAAAGCACACACTTTTAAAAGTTAAACGTTTAAAAATTGTTGCACACTGTTTATTGTCTTTGTCAATTAACGACAATAAACGACAATTGTCTTTGATACTTTTCTTATTTGTTATTGTAATATGGTGTAACAATCAACTGATCAAGCTACAATACCTGTTTTAACACCTTGCGGCTTTTGTTCACGGCTCGATGATACGCGCGCTTAAGTGTCAGTTTAACAGGTACTGATTGTAAAGGAAATAACACGTTTGGTTTCCAATTTTATTGTGTCGGAGTCGGAATACGAATTTTCCGTTATAAAGGATTATAATAACGTTGAAAAAAATTGGTTCCCACCAATTCACTGTCGTTATTTGAATTTGTCAGTATAGTGGATTCCGATGTATTGAGTCCTGACTGTATATACTTCCTAGGAAATTCTGAGTCTAACAATGTATTTCATATTAACTGATGGATGGCTTTGATAGATTTACATGACAATACACATGTGATGTAACCTTTGTTTGAAATCTTAAACTTTAAAGTAACATTAATCATCACTGAAATTCAATTCAACAATCATCAATATATATATTATTTTACCTTCTAGGTATTGAACTAATTTTGGGATGACTGTGTCCCATAGTTCAACAAGGTTGTCATGGAGATTAGGGGATAGTCCTTTCATGAGGTTTAAAACATGAACACCTCTCTGTCTCCCATTCTGGGGTCTTCCTGCTAATGTCTGAAACATAACATAACACAAACATAGTATAACATAAACATGACATAACTCAAACAAAACAAAACATAACAAAATCATAGTATAACATAAACATGACATAACTCAAAGAAAACATAACATAACACAAACATAGTATAATATAAACATGACATAACTTAGACAAAACATAACATAACACAAACATAGTATAACATAAACATGACATAACTCAAACAAAACATAACATAACACAAACATTGTATACCATAAACATGACATAACTCAAACAAAACATAAGATAACACAAAAATGATATCACAAACAAAACAAAGCTCAAATAATATATAACAAAACCATATAAAAACACACATAACACAAACATTATATAACTCAAGCAAAATATAACTGAAAAATTACATAACATAAACACAACATAACTCTAGCATACTTTAACACAAGCATTACATGACACAAACATTACCTAACTCAAACAAAACATATCACAAACTTAACATAATAAGTATCATGCTTTATTATATCCATTAATTGTTTTAGGCATATAAGTAATTGACAAAAAACATAATTCTGATAACATTAAACATGCCATTAGAGACCAGAAATAAAAGCAGAACATGTATTTTATCTTTCAGTGAAATGTTTGGAAAGCAAGGTTACCGAGACTGTTTGATAAAAAAAAAATTATAAAAATTATATTTGGTAGTAAAACTGAGATTAAAGGCATGCACACACGCATGCACACACACACACACACCCACAAATAAGAATTAATTTTACTTACAACAAGTCTGGCTATCACAGCAGCTGGTTTGGGTAAGTTAGCTAGAAATATAGATAAACTTACAATCAACATTATGTAAAAATATGCATAAAAATTAGGAATTTTCACATGAACATCAGTTATGGACAGAAAAATTGATTAAAAAATTGTCAACAATTTGCAAGAATTGGTTAACCATACAAAGCCCCATTTTCAAAGTTATAAAAAGAAAAATAACTGGAAACAAGGGCAACATTGTCACTACATGTAAATACAGCCGTCAAAAAAGCTTTTGACAGAAATATGGGTATTATAGATCTGCATATAGGATATGCTATTGGCAATATCTGGACATAATCTGGATATTTTATCATCTCTTGTGACCTTGACCTTGCAAATATTAACCTTATTACATGTGTCACACTTGTAGTCATGATAGTTATCATTTGTATTACAATCAATCAATAAATGATGACTAAAATTTAATGGTCCCTGTACACATCTTCTGTTTTAAAATGGTCCCTGTACACATCTTCTGTTTTATCTTTGACCTCTCTACGTGACCTTGACTTAGTTTGCAAGGACCTGGATTATGCCTCAAAATGTTGAAAATTTGTGCCAATTTACAATAAAATCCCTCAATGAACATAGAAGTTTTGCTCAGAACAAGCATATTTCAATAACCTCTTAGTGTGACCTTAACCGCTACCTAGAGACCTGGTTCATGCATGTGACACTGCTTCTCATAGTCGTGAACATTACCTTTCCTCACTAAATGATGACTTAATGGTCCAAATACACATTTTCATATCTTCATCTGAACCTTGACCTCTATGTGTAACGTTCACCTTGACAGCAGGGACCAAATTTTTGCATGCAACACTCCACTTTTTCTATGTCCTTTTTATGTGACCTTAACCTTTGACCTAGAGAACTAGTTCTTGTTTGTGACACAGCTTCTCATAGTTGTGAACATTTCTATTATGACTCATTGGGGAAATTTCCCCCATGGTGTAAGAGATTGGGTCTGGGCAAAACCTATATTTTTTCATCTTTGTGACCTTGACCCCGCTTACATTAAACCAAATTCATGTTTCAACCCCGGTTAAATTATAATTTATATTTGTGTTTCAATCCCTCAATAAATGATGACCAGATGGTCCAAATACACATTTTCATATTTTTATCTAATCTTTGACCCCTATGTGTGACCTTGACCTTGGCCTAAGGAACCTTAATTTTGCACGCAACACCCTCCCTCATTGACCTTTGACCTAAAAGGTTGATAGAAGTGCAGTGCTTGGGGAAACTAAAATATGACCTGTTTTTTAAACCAACGTATAAATATGGATGGCACAGTCATATAACTTGGCAATATCATGTACTTTGTATTAATAAGTAAGTGTAGAAATTATGAAGCCATTAGTATAGATAGGACTTAAAATTTATCAAACTTGCCAGTTTAGGTTGACCATATCTATTTTCAAAGACAAGAGCTGTCAAAAATATAGTTTACTTGACTATTCTCAGTGCTTAATAGTAAAACAAGAGCCTGGATTACATAGAATTTTCTAAGTATAAAGGGCTATAATTCTGTCAAAATCCATGTTAGAGTTATGGACCTTGGATAGTGACCTCCTATATGCTCTCAAATAAGTGTCAAGTTTCAAACAGTTCCCGTCTGTAGTTTTGGAGATACCAACTTGCACACAAAATCTAAAACCAAAAATATGACGGTGATGGCAATGCCATTGCCTGCATGTGTATTATAGCTCTCCTTATTTAGTGAGCTAAAAATCATGTACTTCGTGTTGAAGTGTGTAAATGATGAAGCCAGTGGTACAGGTAGTAGGAATAGGTAAACTTTGTATGGACACAGGCAGACAGACTGTTCAATAACCTCTATATGACTGGAGGCATAAAAACGCAATGGAACAAAACTAAACAAAGAGGGCAATGATGACACCTAATCACTGACCTAAAATCCAATTCTATAAATTGTCAAAAATTTTCACTGCAGAAGCAATTATTTATATCCTGTAGTGTCATGTATAATTCAAAACAGCTGCATGATTTAATAAATGTTTGTAGAGGTCTTCTAGAAAAAAAAAAACATGTGAAAACATGTAAGCTCTGAGAATTGTAGTTTTGAACCATACATGTATTTAAATGTGTTTCCCTTTACAAGTCTATATAAAATTAGTAACACCAGGGGCGGGGCATAAAGGGGCATGATTTACATAAATTTTGTTGAGGACTACAACATTGATCTACAATGGTGATCCTAAGGGCATGTGTGAAATTTCAAGTAAAAATGAGGAAATTATTTAGATGCATGAAAAATTACATCCAAACAAGAACGTGTTTGTTAAACACAAATGCCCCCGGCTCAGATTCTTGTCAGTAGCAATATTTCAAAAAATGTTTACCCATTCACTCAGTTATGTACAGAAAAACTGCCAAAAAATTGAAAACACAAGTTATATAGCTTGACAAAGTCATAGCATTTTGTAATTGTGAAAAATATAAGTTGCCAAGTCATTGCCCTGACTTGTGAAGATGAAAAATATTCAACTTCATGCAAGTTATCTTCCTACCAAATATGAAATACATCTGTCATTAAATAAAGGCTGTATGGTAAAAATCTATTTTTAGCACTGGTGACCTAAACCAAACTGACCCCTAACTCTATCCAAAAGAAGAATACCACATTGGTGACCTTGACATTGGTAACATTGACCTTGACCCAAATGACCCCTTACTACACCAAAAGAAGGAGGACCTCCCTTGGCATGTTTGTATTAAACTAAAACATCAACTAAAATATAAAGGCTGTATGAGCAAAAATGTTTATATTTATTTTTTAAACCAGTGACCTTGACCTTGACCCTAGAGACCGCTTACTCCACAAAAAATTAGAGGACCATCAAAGGTATCCACCTACTAAATATGAAAGATATCATTAAAGAAATTAAGCAATTAGGAGAAATTTAAGATAAATCCAACTTGCCGAAATAGGTTAACCAGACAAGGCCCTATTTTCAAAGTGAAAAAAGGGAAATAACTGGGAAATATGGATGACACAGTTATATAACTTGGCAATATCATGTACTTTGTATTGATAAGTAAGTGTGGAAATTATAAAGCCATAAGTATAGATAGAACTTACGATATTTCCAACTTGCCGTTTTCAGTTAACCATTATTCATTTTCTTAAGTGCTGAAAAGGGCAATAACTTGGTAAATATGAAAGCCAGAGTTATGTAACTTGCCCAGATCATGTACTTTGCATTGATTAGTAAGTTTGTAAACTTAGAAGCCATTGGTACAGGTAGAACTTAAGAAAAATCCAACTTGCAGTTCTAGGTTAACCTCGTACGGACAGACGGACGGACGGTTCAATCACTATATGCCCGGGGGCATAAAAATCACTGCAAACACATAGGTAAGACAGCCCAACTTTTTTATTTAAGCAGATATGTTACCTTGAGTCTCATAATCAAGGTCATAATCTTCAGCATTTTCCTCCCTCTTCTTGTTAGCAATAGTTGCTAGGCAACGACATACTACCCCAGCAGCCTCAGTATACTTCTCTGGTACCACCAACTCTAACAAGTATGGCCATAAAACCTGAGCAAATAACATTTTGATAAAATTAAAATATTTTTATTTAAGGCTTATTACAGATCAATCACACTCATTTCCTTCTTATCAAGCATTTTGAATCTGTAAGAACAGGAAATAAAACCACAATATCATATTGTTGTTTATATCTTTATAATCATGAACTACATGATTTACCTGACATTATCCAACATTCTATTGATATATGTCAATCATTTAACATTGATACAATCATGCAGGATACATTGCCAAATATATGAACGTCCTGATGACGAATTAAACATCAGCAATATCAATTATATTGATTAACCAGTGGAATAAATAATAAAAGAGCATCCACATCAACCAATTAACCTTCAGAGAATTCCAGCATAATGTCAGCAATCCACTTACAAAATAGTAACATGTGATGATCTAACAAAAGATGACATTGATGATGTAATATTGCCTAAAAACTGGCCTATGAACTACATCAGTTCATAAGATTATCTCCAATGAACTGTGTACAAGTATGTCAGAAGCAAGAGATGACTTGGTTTCTTGTGTACTAACAACAACAGAAACAATGAGTCACTGACGGCTTTCCTTAAGGTAGTGTTACTGTCATGCTTTCCTACCAAAAAATTCTAACATCGGCCAATATCATAGCAAATCGGTTATTTCTGGAACGTTATTTATTCAAAATCATGGACATTAATTTATTTACAATCACTCAACCTTCATTGCTGTGTACCAAATTCTGGTTATAAACGGTAAAAAATTATTGAATATTGAAGACTGTGAAAAATGTTCCAGAAATGACCTATTTATTACCATATATTGGCAAATGTCAGAAATCTTTTGGCAGGAAAGCATTACAGTAAGATAACCTTAAGCAGAACAGAGAATCTGGTGATCTGTTTTTGGAAGCTGATTAAACTTTGGTTAGTTAGTATGATCCAGAGAAAAACCAGACTGTTCTCTGTGGTAAAACTCCCAATTCACCCTCACCTATTAAAGCTTTAAATTGTTTAAATTGTCTGCCAAAAAAACTGACATATATTGCCTTTTTTGACACAAGAGGAGTTGTTGTATACAATGCAGTCCTGGCATGGAAGACTGTGACAGCAGTTTTAGTCAAAGTAAGGTGTTGTGTTCTTAAAGGCATGATTCTTTTAATAATTTACTTTACACATTTAGATAAAATAATGTTTTACAAAATTGAAAACCTGGTAATTATTGTTACTCAAAACTTACACATGTAGTATATAAAACAATTGTTACAGATCAATAAATGCAACTATTATCACATCTCAGGTACTGAGACATGATTTAATCAGAGGTGATGAGAAGGAAAAACCTAAACTTCAAATGTGACCTTTTTCATGATAATGCCATGCTACATACATGTACTCTGTCCCTATATTGCTTGCTGGGACAGAAATTGACACAGTTGCAACTTCTCCTGATCCCACACTACAATTTTTGTTTATTATTTTCAAAGAATCAGGATGCCGTTTCAACCATGCTAGTGACCATACCATATTTGTCAGTGCATGTTTGCAATAAATTTCGATCACCCGACATCCAAAGCTGGACAAGGTCAATTCCTAAGGCAGAAGTATGTAGTTAGATCATTTTGGGGTGTCATTCTTGAGAACAGCTGCATGATTTATAAAATATTTGTACATGTAGAAGTGCACTAGGAAATGTTAAATGCCAAATATCTAATCTCTGGGCATTGTAGTTGTCCTCACGATTTTAATGAGTTCTCCCAAATTATGCTTTGGGTATTAGGGGAAGATTTTTAAAACATCTTACTTGATATCTCTATGTAAACTATGTGACCCCTAGCACAGGGCTATTTTTGACCCCAGGGACATAACTTATGTATCTTTTGTAAGGTCAACTATGCAATGCTACATGCTAAATATCTAAGCTTTGGGCATTGTAGCTTCACACAATATGAAATAAATATATTTTCCTATATAATAAGTATATAAAAACCTGAATGTAAGTTAACTGACCCTCACAGCAGCCCGGGGACATGACTTACATAATTTTAGTTAACCCATTGCTTCATATACACGCCTTTTAACGCCTTTTTCACCCCCCCCCCCCTTTTTGTTGTCTCAAATGATGAAAAAATGCCTTATTTAGGCCCCAAACACTTGTTTTTTGTTTGAGAAATGATGTTAAAAAAAGTGACCTCTTTTTCGGCGCGGCCCCCCAGCCAAAAGATACATCAGGGGGTTGCCAGAAGGGGGATGTGCCCCCTTCTGTTTGGGGGGGTTTGAAGGGGGGCGGAGTCCCCCTCATCGCCAAGAAAATTTTGGACTTGTGAGAGGCTGTAAATGACCCCAGATTGATCATAAGGTAACGTGTAACCAACGCTGAAAAGCATTTGACTCTATCTCAATCCATTGAGAAGTTGCAGCACTTTGAAATCAATTTTGATGGAAAAAATCAACGCAAAATAGTGATTTTTGGCAATTTTGAGATGTCCCCTCGTTGCCATGGTAACAGAAAATTAAAGCCTGAGCATGTTGTTGCAAGGGCAATGGTCCAGTCAACATTTGTGCCAAGTTTGATTGGTGTTGAAGCAGTTTTTATAGTATCATAGCAATTTGAACTTGTAACGGGAGACTTTTCAATGAAAACAGCCATTTTTCACAAAATGCTCATGAAGTAATGGGTTAAGGACCACAAGGTGATGCTACATGCTAAATATCTAAACTTTGGGCACTGTATATTCTGATGTGAAGAGTTTTAAAGCTGTTACTTTTAAAGTCTACTGTTACATCTTGCTTGTGACCTTTTTATGCATCAGACTGGAATCAGTTATATAACTTTTGTAGAGTGCCACCGCAGGATCATTCCTGAACAGTTTGGTCAAAATCCATCTTCTGAAGTTGTGTTACAGGAGATGTTGTTTAAAGAATTGTGGATAACAACTAACAAGACACTGCCACCACAAAAGCTTACCTAGGAGCACTTTGTCCTTAAGTAAACAACAAATTGTTATAACTCATAAAGGCATGAAAAGTGTATTAATTAGGCAGGGCAATATTTTCAAAAAATAATTTAAGGCAATTGTAACGACAAACAGTAACAAAGATGTTTGTAAAATCATTTGAATGTTCAAAGTTGCATGAATTATTGGTTGAAAATCTATTTGGCATACAAGGTCAATGTGACTTTTGACCCCTTGACCCCATAATCAATAGGGATCATCTACTTCCCAAGACTAATACACCCAAAATTTAGGGTAATGGGCCCATGCATTCTCAAGACAATGTGGAACTGACGGATCAACCAACCTACAGACGAACAACAAGCTGCAACACAATATGCCTCCTCGTCTTTGAAGGGGGGGACATAATAAAGTTGAGTTTACCAAAGTGCCCTGCTTACATTAACCTTATGTAATTATGCTGATGAAAATTTAAATATGGATATGGTACAAACATTTTCATTTATCTTTTAATATACTTTTTACATTAGTTTTTTTCAAATACAAAAATGTATCATCCAAAATATTGATAAGTAAAAGTTAACACTCAAATATCTCTCTGTTCATTCTTTATATAACATAACATAACATGAATTTATATACTCAACAATGCTTGAATAATGCTAACAAAACATAAATAATTACATTTTCCATTTGTTCAACAGTATTAGTAAGTAACTGTAATACATGATCACACATCATACGTAACTGGACATTGGTCACATGATCTGGATCTGGTGACCTCTTTGCACCCTGTAAAAATGTAACTTCTTTACTAACACAACTAGATAAATTGTTAACAGGCAAAGAATTCCTGATGGCTAAAATTTTTGCACTGACTTACTTAATAAACAAGTTATAAAGATTTTAAACATGTCATTCTAATCAAGATAACCAGCATATTTTACATAAGAATGCAATCTTTTATTTTCTTTCCAACATATATATTTAGAAAACAGATACATTTATAATATTTGAGTATATAATACATGTATTGCACATTTATGTTTAGATGCACAGTAATATTGGCCATAGGCCTTCATGATTAATGGCTAACCATTCAAACAAAGAGCCATTATTAATGTTATACTCCCACTGTCCACAGTTCATTACATGCTTTTAGTATCAATCGCATATAATAATCAACTTCATATAAAGTATTATGACATTTGATTAATTAAATACAGAATAAGAAATATTCAATTATATTCATGTACAAGTTACACAAACATACATTCAAGTTCAAAATTCCATTTGGTAATACAATATTATCAGACATACTATTATTGGCAAAATCTAAACACTTTCAAACGTTAAAAACCAACAAAATAATTGTGAGAAGACTTACAGGAGGATCAGCTGGTAGTGAGCATTGTGTTACTATAAACTCTATCATCTGAGTTCCACCTTCTAATTCCATGTAATTATGGTGACCCATTGCTATAACAACTTGAGCAAACACTTTCTTCACCTTCATTTATAAATCATTAATAAAAACAAAGTTTTAAAAATTAGGTGGTCTTAAAATATTTCATCTTTAAACAGATAAAAGGTTCAAGTTGTATAAGATTGCAAAAGAGTGGTACACAAATAAAGAGGAATTCACAGGATATGATCATTCTTTTAAAAATGTCCACATAGAAAATAGAGTGTAAATTTAATTCTAACTTTATTGAACAAGTTAAATAAAATCACATTATGCGAGCATCTATATACCTTGTTACTATGTTCCTGTGTAATACCTTTCAACCCCGACAACACTACTTCCTTCTTGTCTTCCATAGATGGGGCTTAAAAATTATATAATAGTTATAATTCTTTGAGATATTTATATCATTTTATATCAACAAGGAGCCGTATGGGTGTAAACGTCCTTCAGTGATAAATGACGTCAAAAATGTTGTGACTTTATGCACATTTTTCTTTTAAACTATGTGGGTGATATGTTTAAACTGTGAATTGATTCACTTTTAATTTGCACCTTGATCACATAAAAATATGTTTTTATTGTAAATAAAAAAAGCTTACAAGAAAAGTCTGGGTGAATCTAAGTTATCTATGTCATAATTTTACCATTCTCTTGCGTAGTGTATCAATGAAGGACACTGTGTTTACACAATACCTGTGATTGCAATTTTTGTGCTAAGTAACTATCTAACTGTAATGATTTTAAGTCTTATTTAAATCTCAAGATGGAAGTTGAATGTTTTACCATGGCTAGCCAGTCTAATGTGATGAGAGAACTTTATACATGTATTTAGTGACTGAAGTGAATGGAGCTTATTTCACAGTTCCGCCGTATTCATGTGACAATGAATTAGAGAATAATAGTAGTGATGATGACATAGGAATTCAGTGGGATAGTATGGATAAAAGTTATTTTTTTGAACTTGCAAAGATGTGGCTGTTCAAATTTGTACGATAAGTCTATTTTTAGATTCATTGACTTCATTTATCACTGAATGACTTTCCACCCTTAAGGGCCCTTTTGCTTATAGCTGGTCACAATTATTGTGTTTAAAAAGAGAAGATAATTATCTGAATTCAACACTACTGTCAATGTTGTTTACAGTCGTGTACCACATATAGGTAACTCACAGCTTTGATTCGATACTTCACTTCTCAAACTATAATGAAAATTCAATATATAAATCATTCTAAGGATAAAGAAACATAGGCTGACCATCATGTAACATAACTAGTGTTTCTAGACTCTATACAAGAACAATGTTAACATGATTACTATGTTCTTCCTTTTTCTTTTAACGAAACTGTGTGTACAAAAGTAAACAACATCATTTGTTCTTCACAGGTATAAATAGAGCTGCAAGTACAATGTTAACAGTATGTCTTCCCAGGTACAACTGTAGCTGCAAACTTCATCATATAAAATTAATTTCAATATGATTTTTCAGAAACAGCCATTTATCTGTACAAACAAATTAAGCATAAAGGCAGATGGACAATTTAAAATCAGCTTACCTGCTGCATTGATAAGATGTTTAAATATTGTTAGTATTCCAATTTTGATTCTCTCATTGTTTTGGTCAAGTTTCTGCAACAGAATACCAGTCAACTTTCCAGAGAATGACCTGGCTGAAATTATATATTATTATATATAATTATATATAACTTGATAGGATTATTGGCATTGTCTTGGTCAGTAAATATGTAAAGTTTAAAATCATTAGTACAAGAAAAGTATTAATTTGCTGATACAAATTAAACATACAATATCTTTGGCAATATTTTGAAATTTTTAAAGTATATAATTGGATGGTTTTCTAACTTTTAAGTATAAGCATCCCTATTAATTCTCTGACAATACAATACAATAAATGATTTACCAATTACAGCAAAACATCTCAAAACTTCATTATGATTCTTCATACTTAAAGGGTTGTTCACATCCACCTGTGCAAAAACCTGAAACAACAATGTACAGCGACATTTGACTAATAATAAATGATTGACCTTACATGCTAGATAATTGTATGTGGCTAATATTTAGCTGTTATATAGTGTACATACTTGTATATATAAGTCACTGGTCACAGTTCTGGTAGTTTACCATGACACATCGTCTTTTTATGGTGAAAACTTGTGCTAAGTTATTTCAAAATATCTTCATGGATGAAAAAAATTGACTGGACACTACCCTCTATCAGAAAATGCTGATCTTTCATCTCTAAAACTGACATTGACTGTAAAACTGACCTTGACAGTAAAGCTGACCTTGACAGTAAAACTGACCTTGATGGTAAAGCTGACCTTGACAGTAAAACTGATCTTGTCAGTAAAACTGACCTTGACGGTAAGAGTTTTTTTTTGCATTACATGTCATTTTATTATGGTGAATAGTAGGTAAAGTTATTCAAAATTCCTTGATGAACGACATTTTGACCAGACACAAACTGGACATGGACTGACAGACAGGTGGACAGACTGACAGAGTTCATTTCTATATCGTTCTTTTTTCTTTGAAAAGCCGAGGACAATAAGGTTAAAACCAAGGAATAAAATTTCTGTTTCAGTTCTGTTTATATTCAATAGAATTTACAAGAATTTTTAGAACAAAAGGGTCATGATAAGATAATAAATTACAAGAAGATATTTTAAGCAGTATATTCCTTAAAATCTGTCCAACAGTTGTGGCAGAGTTGTATTATGTTCAGCAGACCAGAATGATTTTAATTATTTTAGTACTGGATCATTTCTATGGAGTTTTATCAAATCTATCCATCTGTTGAGGAAAAGATGTGATTTTAAAGGCTGTTTCTATTAATAGCTCTGTTCAGCACAGCAGAACACAATGATTTAAGTAATACATTATTTGTAGATGACCATTCAAAAATTCTTTTATAGTTTCATCATAACGGGCCAAAATGAACTACATATATAAACTGTTCTTTTATCACAGAATCTTGATTTCCATTATTAATTTAAAATGTGAAGGCTATAAACAAGTTTTATCATAAGAAACCTTACCTGAGGGAAGAGGGCATTAAGTACATGTTCAAGGTGCGGCTCTAAAATATGAGTTTCTTCCTGACATACTGCATCCAGTACACTACACAAACCCTACAATGTATATCTCAATCTCATTTTAATGAAACAAATTAATGAAATTATTTGCATTAGTTTAGTTACAACAAAGAGCTTATTCTAACATTATTATAATGATAGAGCTTAAGAAAGTACTGTCCATATTTACAGATATTTAGTGAACAGATATTTAGAGATGTGTTCACATATACATGAATTTGGCCACATGTACAGATATTCAATAAAATGTTCAGATATACACCACATTGTAAAGATATTTGGTAATATTTACACATATTTTACCATGTGTACAGATATTCAGTGATGTGTACAGATAATGTGTTCACATTCTTAAAACTATGCACACAGAAATGTGTACAGATACTGTGTACAGATTGTTAAAACTATGCACACAGAAATATGTACAGATTCTTTAAACCATGAACATGTGAACGTGTACAGATATTATGCACAGATTCTTAAAACTTGGCACACAGGAATGTGTACAGATATTTTGTGAAGAACAAGTATGGTATACAGTAGAACAGTAGAACTTCTATGAGTCGAACTTCGATTAGTCGATTTTCTCGATGTGTCGAAGAAAAATGAAAGTCCCGACTTTTCCCCCTATATGTTCCTTATAAAAACCTATTTATGAGTCGAGATTTTATGTGTCGAATTTTTCGATGTGTCGAAGTTTTTTCGTGGTCCGTATAAAGTTAATCTAGTGCAATTTACCACAAATAAGTCGAAGTCGTTCAATTATTTTGACACCTTCGATATCGGCACATTTTTCACACCTTATCTGCCTGCAAAGACGATTTCCAATCAACTTGTGTGACAGGTGTTAATTACACAGTCGTGTGTACAAACAGCCTTTGGTTGCGATAAAATGTGTAATAAAATGCTTTAATCGTTTCTATTTTAATTGCCGTAGTATTTGAAAGTAAACAGTAAGAACTACTTTCATTTGAAAACATCCTTGACCCGGGGTTGCGTGAGAATAACAAGCGAAATATTTACTATAAGCCGGTTTAGTTATCGCCCTTTCGTATTGTTACGCCTTTTGTAACTCTGTTGTATACGTCAACGGATAGTCGAAATAATTAGCCTTGAAAAAACGTTATTTAACATGCTATATTTATCATTGTAAAATGTAAATATCAGATTAATGATGGAAAAACATGAAAAAGGTTTCGTTATACATCTTATAATTAGGACTAGTCACGGGTCGAAATTTTGTCATGGAATTGAGAGCGATTCATGAGTCGAAGTCCCGATGTGTCGAAGTTTTTACGCAAGTCCCTCCAACTTCGACTTACCGAAGTTCTACTGTATGTAGCAGTGTGTGTAGAGTATGTAGTAATAAAATCATTGCTCATAAAATACCTGGCAGTTTCTAAATAGACAACTGAGCACATACCTGTGTAATATGAAATGGTTCAGGATGACGTTTATAAAGGCCAAGAATTCCAGCCAGTATCCGTGGTAACTGTTCCTCTAGTTTATCCTTAGCCATCAGGTGTGTCATATGACCTAATGCTTCAACAATTGCTAGCCTCAACTAAAATCAAAATTAAATATAATAAATATGAAGTGTAAGAAGTGTTCATTGGCTATTTAACATTGATTAAAAGCCAATAATTCAGCTAAACCAAACAACGGCCATATGAGCATATATGATGTCAATTAAATGAAACTTCACTTATGTCCAAATGCTAAAAAAGAAAGAAAAAAGAAATTTTCACAAACATATATATTTCAATATGAAAAAAAATTTGCAATAGGTAATACAGAAATATCCTTAGCATTAAAACAAACATTGATTTATAGTGTTATTTTTAGTCCAATTTGAGTAAAAAGCATTTAAATATTTTCATTTTTTAGCTTTTTTATATAATGAAAAAGATTAAGCTTGAAAAAAACAAAGTAAGAGTAAGCAAAGGATCTGAAATGTTGTTCACAATTTATTGGTATTGGCCGACATTAAATGGTATATATATTTCAGTGGAGTCCCTTTCAACTATAATATATGTACACTACTGGCTGTTATATTTTGAGTAGTCATTTTTATATTACCAACCTTCATTTCTTTAGACTGTATCCATACATTAAATATAACATCATAGGCAGAGAAGATTTCTGCAGAAAACATCTCTTTCTTTACTGTAGGATCTGGGGCCTTATCAATGTTGGCTATATACTCTATAATTGCTTCACTGAACTTAGACAAGGCTGTATAATATAAAATAATTCATCACTTTAAATAAGTTATGTGTCTGTCTGATCTCCATACATAGAGTACAAAAATACAATAAAGAAATTCAAGAAACAAATTTTTATCATAAACAAAACAGAACTTTTTTTATTTTACTTTTATGTTTTTCAAACTATATTTCAAGTAAAATCTACACATATAAAATAAAAAACAAACAAAAAACAAATAAGCTTGTGCTTTATGCTATCTATGTTTTACATTCAGAAGACTACGCAGTGTCATAAACAATTGCTTATTTTAATGACATAACATCTTTTAACAAAAACAATATACAACAAAAGCTGTCAGTAGGACAGAGTGCTCGACTATTCTCAGTGCCTGATAGTAAAAAAGTGCCGGATAATGTAGAATTTTCTAGGATAATTTAGAATTTTCTTAGTTCAAAAAAGGTCATATTTCTGTCAAAATCCATGACAGAGAAATGGGCCTTGAATAGTAACCTCAAAATTATGCTCTCAAATATTTGTGTGAAGTTTCAACACATTCCCTTTAGTAGTTTTGAAGATATCAACTTGCACACAAAAACTTAACCAAAGTGTGACACAAACACCTACGTTAGTACAATAGCTCTCCCTATTCTTCAAATAGTCAAACTTAAAATGAAGTACTTGTTGGCTGTTGAGATCCTTTCCAGATAAAGTTTATATTTTACTTAATTTAAATTTTCTCCACTTTTTCCCTATATTTATCTTTCCTCTTAAGATATTTTAACTGTAGTAAAACTATACATACTTTATAATGTGTTATATAATTACCTGAAGAGAACACCCATCTCATGTTGTCTTGTTTGGCCATACCTAACATAGGTAACATTGTCCCTAATACAGCTGTCAGATGAGGCACCATTCCATACACTGTAAATACAAACATTTACCACACATTTATTGAACAGAATGATACATTATCAGCAAACAAACAGAATCTTAATAACATGGCATAATTTCGAGACTTACACAAATGCATGTGGAAACTAAATAACAACAAGAGCCATGTCAACATGGCCATCCCCTGCCGAATGTGTTTGCTCATTGGAAGAATGTATATGTAGTAGAGCAGAATAATTCCATTTTAAGAGGTCTTTTGGTAATGAAAACTGATGGCTATAGTGATTACAGATTTGAAACCTATGTGAATACTGATGGCTGAAAATAACAAAGGGCAATAACTGAAAAATAATGCAGGGTAGGTTATCATTCTTGTGTGCTGCATCCCTCCTCAGTAAAATCTATCCACCTATGAAGTTTCAAGTTGATACCTCAAATACTTTTTGAGAAAAAATTTAAGTATGAAAAAGAACAAAGGGCAATAACTCAAAAATTATAAAAGGTAGAGTTATCATTCTTGTGCAGTGCACACCTCCTGAGTCAGAGATCTATGCACCTATGAAGTTTCATTTGATATCTCAAAGGCTTTTTGAGTTATGCTCTGGACAAAAATTTATTTTGAAAAAAAAAACAAAGGGCAATAACTCAAAAATAATGCAGGGTAGAGTTATCATTCTTAAGCACTGCACTTCTCTTCAATGAGATCCATCCACCTTTGAAGTTTAAAGTTGATACCTCAAATACTTTTTGAGATAAGCTCTGGACAAAATAGCATGAAAAAAAAGGGCAATAACTCAAAAATTGTATAGGGAAGAGTTATCATTCTTGCGCACAACATTCCTCCTCAATAAGATCTATCCACCTATGACATTTCATGTTGATATCTCAAACACTTTTTGAGTTATGCTCCACTCAGGTGAAAAATTAGGTATGAAAAATAACAAAGGGCAATAACTCAAAAATTATGAAAGGTAGAGTTATCATTCTTGTGCACTGCACACCTCCTGAGTGAGATCTATGCACCTATGATGTTTCATGTTAATATCTCATAGGCTTTTGGAGTTATGCTCTGGACAAAAATCAATTTTGAAAAATAACAAAGGGCAATAACTCAAAAATCATGCAAGGTAGAGTTATCATTCTTGTGCACTGCACTCCTCCTCAATGAGGTCTATCCACCTATGAAGTTTCAAGTTGATAACTCAAATACTTTTAGAGATATGCTCTGGACAAAAATGTCGGACAGAAGGACGGACGGACGGACAGACGGAAGGTCGGACTGACGGACGGAGACTATTTCTATATCCTTCGCCGAAATTTTTCGGCGGGGGATAATAAAGGCACCACAAAGGCGGGGATATATACGCCTGAATTTCAATTTGTTAGAGTAATCAAACATATTCTTTCAATTAGGGAAGAGACGCAATCATGAAACTTGTCTGAAAAAATGACCTTCAAGGTGGAGGCTTTTTTACCCTCATGCATAATTCATAAAACTTTTATTAAGGTCTACTAGGCAATGCTATATGTCTAATATAGATGCATAGTAGTTATCAACAACAGCAAGTGACTCCTGGGTAGGGAAAAGTTTGAACCAAAGGGAATGATTCATATCATTTTTGTAAAGGTCAATAAGGAAATGCTACATGCTAAATATCTAAGCTCTAGACACTGTAGTCTCACATAAAGAAACTTGAATGTGTTTTCCTATATCAGTCTATATAAATCAAGCAATCACCAGGGCTAGGCTAATTTTATGTTAAGAAGCCCAAACTTGTGCGCTGTACATTGCCTTGTTATATTTCTGCCGAAAATGTTTTAATTTATTTCTTTCTTCTTCAAAAGATACAGATCAGACACAAAATTCATACAAAATAACTAATGTGAACTTGACCTTGACCTAAGGAAGGTCAAACCTGTGTTCTGCATTTAACATTTCTGCCAAATATTTCAATTTCCTTCAATTAATCCAAAAGATAGACAGGACACAAATTTGCTAACAGACTGGTGAACACCAGAATCATAACAATATACAAATGTACACCGAAAATTTTTCAGGCTTATAAAAAGAGTGTTCTTTGTGTATTTGCATTTGTGAGTGCAAAAAAAAATGAAAATAAAGCTTAATATCAATCGGTCAAAGCTACTGATCTGGCATTTTATAAACACATTTGAAATTATTGTTTCACTAAGTATTTAACTTTAATACTACTATTTTATCTAACTGTATAATTGAGCATTCACAATGTTATTCATAGGCAGGAAGAAAGATTTATTGTTCAATAAGTGATTCACAATAAAAGTTGACTTTAAGAATGTTTATACAGTGTTGTATCACAGTTCAATTTATTAGTAACAGTATACCATTAACAGAGCATAGATTTGCAATGGTCTGTACAACAAAGAAGTGAGGTAAAGACCCTGGTTGAAACTTTTGCAGCATCTCTTCCATTATTTCATTACAATACTTTTTTCCAAGAGCCACCAAAACACCACTGGCTGCTGTCTGCCATTCTGGCACCACCTCCTGTAATAAAGCAGTCATATAAAAACATATATTTTGAGAATTAAAAAAATAAAACACATACAGATTGTTTTTTTACACTTCATTTATGCTTTACAAGAAAATTAACTGACTTATTTTTTCTATTATACTTAAGATACTGCCTTGATCCTAATTAAGAAACAATGTTTACCTAACCTAAAATTAAATGTTTATCTATAAACCTAAGATTCAATGTTAATCTCAAGTAAGATTCAATGTTTATTTAACCTAAGATTCAATGTTTATTTAACCTAAGATTCAATGTTTATTTAACCTAAGATTCAATGTTTATTTAACCTAAGATTGCATTTGTTTCTTATCTATTATGATGTCTGTCCAAGTTCTTTAAAAATCATTAAACTTGTGAAAAAAGGATAAATATTTCAGAAAATAATGTTTTTAAAGTCATATATGTTGACAAACAATGATTGCTTGTTCAAATATTTGACGATAAACGGTGCCATTTTGAAAATGCACCAAATTAAACATCAAATATTTGTAAATAACATTGTGAAATATTATTAAATTTTTACATGATACGATTAAATAACATTTTTTGTCTGTGAAATCAATTTCTGTTTTGTCATTGAACAATGCATAAATTAAAAACAAGATTGCATTTGTGAGAAATGCTATGCCACCGCATTAATACAACACTATTATATATAGTAATAGTTTCTATACAATTGAAGATTGCCATAATGCATAGATTACTGACCAATCTAATTGTTATTAAGATTAGTACCTTCAGACAATAAGATTTTTAATGTTTTACTTTATGACATAGTGACTGAAAATCATAACCCCCGGGGCAGGGCCAATTTTGACCCCCTGGCTATAATTTGAACAATCTTGCTAGAGGTTCACTACACAATGTTTCATGCAAAATATCTAACCTCTAGCCTTTGTCAATAAGAGAAGATGATTTTTTAAAGTTTTTACTATATACATGTAAAGAAAACCTATGACCCCTGGGGCGGGGCTAATTTTGACACTAGAGGCAAACTTTGAACAACTTTGGTAGAGTACCTCTAGATGGTATCATACACCAAATATCAAAGCTCTAAGCCTTGAACCTTCAGACAAGAAGGTATTTTAAGCTTTTACTATATGTACATATAGTGAAAATCAATGACCCACAGGGCAGGGCCAATTTTGACCCCAGGGTCATAATTTGAGCAATCTTTGTAGAGGTCTACCAAACAATGCCTTTTGCAAAATATCTAAGCTCTAGGCCTTGTGGGTCTTTACAAGAAGATTTTTTAAATTTATTCTTCTAATTCCTTTTGGTTACCATGGCAACCAGATTTCTGCATGGAATGAAATTCTTCGAACAACTTTGGAAGCCCTTCACCCAAGGATCAATCCTGCCAAGTTTGGTTGAAATTGGACAAGTGGTTTTTCACAAGAAGATTTTTTAAGTTCACTATATAATCTATATAACACACATACAAACACACCAACACACACACAGGTGAATCGCTACATGCCACCGCATCGCAGATGCTGTGGTGGCATAAAAGCTTATGAAACTCTGACCTATTTTCAAATATAAGCAGTAGATTTTTTACCTTGACACCGGGAACAAAAAAATTCCTAATTTCATTGCAAATCTATAAAATTGTTACTTTTTTAAAGTAGAAACTGATAATGTAATGCAGCCAGGATTAGTTTTCAGTTATATTTTGATTCATTTAGAAAACATCTTATAATTTGATGTTTGAATGGTGATGTACTATGCCAGATCATGGTCGGTAGATAACCTAATCAACCGAGACATCTTTTTTCGTAAAATTGGTCTGACTCCAGCCCATTCTATTTGAAAGACCCTGGTTTAACATACCTAAGATTCAATGCTTATCTTACACGGATATCCATGTTCTTCTAATATAAGATTCCATATTAATCTAACTTAAGATTCAATGATTTATATTTAATATAACATTAAATGATTATCTAACCTGAGATTTGATTTTATCTCAACACAGATTCAATGTAGATCTTACTTATGATTAAATGTTTACCTTACCTAATATGCAATGGTTACCTTAATCAAGATTCAATATTTATATAACCTTAGATTCAATGTTTATATAACCTAAGATTCAATGGTTACCTTATCCAAGATTCAATGTTTCCCTAACCTAAGATTCAATGGTTACCTTATCCAAGATTCAATGGTTACCTTATCCAAGATTCAATGGTTACCTAATCCAAGATTCAATGTTTATCGTATCCAAGATTCAATGGTTACCTTATCCAAGATTCAATGTTTATCGTATCCAAGATTCAATGGTTACCTTATCCAAGATTCAATGGTTACCTTATCCAAGATTCAATGTTTACCTAACCTAAGATTCAATGGTTACCTTATCCAAGATTCAATGTTTACCTAACCTAAGATTCAATGGTTACCTTATCCAAGATTCAATGTTTACCTAACCTAAGATTCAATGGTTACCTTATCCAAGATTCAATGTTTATCGTATCCAAGATTCAGTGGTTACTTTATCCAAGCTTACCTATTTTAGATTCAAGGTTACCTTAACCAAGATTCAATGTTTACCTTTTCTATGACTTTAAGTTTACCTTACCTTTGATTCAATGTTAATCTTACCTAGGAGTTACTTTCATCTTAATTAGATTCAATGAAAATTGTAACTTAGATAACCTGTGAAGTTTCCTGTTTATTTACCCAACATTAATAATATCTGTCATATTTTGCGGTTCGGATCTGAATATCCGTCCTGAGGTGACCTGTCCATTGGGCGTAAACGAGGCTTGCCCAGTTACCGCCCATGGGCGGGTGACCGAGGGACGGATATATCGATCCGAACCGCAAACATTTGTCAGATATTTTTTCTTGCATATTCTACCATATTCCATTATATTTTAAAATTCTTTATCTTTAATTTATATCATTAAAACCGTAACTACTTTCTTACAAAAAGCGTATGAATTACAACTTCATTCATAACGGTAAAATGACGTCATCCTAAGCGTGCCATTGTACAGCACGCGACTCATCTGGCACCCCCCATGCCAGACGAAATTTCCGGAATGGGTAAAACTCACAGAAACGCCAGTCTGATATGCAAGAAAGTATCTTACATTATAGTACCCCAATATTTAACATAAATTTGTTTTATTTAATTTTTTTCAGGTTTAGACTAAATATTTAACATTCAAAGCCAATACTATATTAGTATTACATAAATCCAATAATTTTCCAAACCTTAGATTCAGTAAGTTCCTCAGATGCTTGTTTTATGAGGTTTATAGCCAGGTCTTTATCAAGTTCCTCCAACTCCTCATGTATAATTCTTTCCATACATTGTAATATAGCTACCCTATGACCTTGTGCTAGCTGAAATTACATTAAAGTATGTGAAAACATATAATCACATTTCAAACTTAACTAACCTTATAAGTTAAAATTAATAAAAAATAACTGTGTACATATTTTATTAACATATTAATTCATTTAAAAATAATTTACTGTGCTGAAATCCTGACTGCATGTATCTATTTTTGTAATTTACTCAAATAATTTCTTACGTAGAAGGTACTCCACTGAGTATGTTTTTTGTTTTTTTTTGATAGAACTGGAAAGATTTATTCAAGAGTAATGCACCATTTGTTGTAGCTCTAGACCAATAACTTTTGTGCAACATTTCATACCAATTGCATACTCTATATTTCCAGAATAATTATTTAATTGTGAAAAGAAACCCAAAAATGAAAAGCATCTAAAAACTTTTAACTCTAATCAGCAGAAAGACAGCACAAAAATACAATTTTACATTTATTTCTGATTATATTTCTTTACCATCTTTTGAATATTTTCTGTTTTACTGCTCCAGTTGATATATGTAAGAAATTCAAATTTTACAGACTTCAGTGGAGTTCCTTAAATGTTTATCAATAATTTTCTTTTAATGTAAAAAGATATTTTCCAAAAAATATGTATAGAGTTGCTAAAGCTCAAACAGAATATAAGTGGCCAACACAAAACCTTTATTAACAGATTATCAATTTACATTAACTTATAACATTCATTGTAAAATATAAGGGACATTGTTAAAACTTTTTGAGAAATGATCACAATGAAAACACTTATTACTTAGATATTTTAAAGATCCTGTAACACAATTTTTTATATCATAAATATAATGCTCAAATGAAGATTTATCAATATTGTAAGTTCCAAAAAGCATTATTTGTAAAGATATTAACAAATTTACAATTTCATGTTAATAAAGGGAGGTAATTAGAAATTTATTTTCTAAAAAGTCTAAGTCAAATTTTTCAATAAGAAATGAATGCATATATTTTAATGATTACATATAATGTGGACAAATATTTGCAGTACATATTTTACATATTCTTCAATGTTTGAAAATTGTTTTAGAAGCATAATTATATACATATTCACTTTACAACCTTAATTATCTTTAATTGTTGCAGTGAAATTTAGCTTTAATATAATAAAGATTACAATAAACATAATTATACAAATGCAAATCAAACCTTGGAATGTTTTTTCAAGTAGCTATAGCATGAACTCAACACTAATTCTGGTTTCTTTCTGCCCAGATTGAAGAGTGACGAGGAAATAATTTCCTGACAGTCCTCACTACGATCAAATGCTGCATCAATCAATGCCATGGTCAGCTCTTTAAAACAACAATAACTACATTTTTATCATTAGTCAACATGCATTAAATAATAAATTAAATGAACTTTCTTGATTCTTGATTTAACAGTTCATAAACATATTAAGGAACTGATAAATACAAATGTAAGCTGTTTTTAAAACATATACTTAACATAAACTTGGCATAATCTACCTGGTTGGTAGATTTTCACATTAAAAATGCATTAAAAGTTACTATATTAATTAATGCACATTCATATCCTAGTTGCAAAATGTTTTCTCAACAATAAGACAATGTGTGTGAACATCATTACTACCAGCACAGAAAATTACCTGAAACCATACAAATAACAAAACAGAAACTGCTGCAAACTGGCATGATGCCTTTATTTTTGGTAATGACAGGATGCAATGTTGTTTTTCCTTACATGTAAAAGAACATAGACCTTTCTGATTTGTGAGAAACAAGCAGGATTTTTCTTGAAATTGTGAAGTTTAAGTGTCCTTTTCCTTACAATTGTGAAAGAGGAAAAGCAATATAGCCATAATTTGTGAAAACCAATTTACAATTCTTTATTTATCTTTATATGACCCATATTATATTGTGAAAAAGCCATGTTAAATGTTGATGCAGTTTGATGACCACTCCTGCATACTACATTTTATGTTGCTGGGGCATAAAAAATTGTGTTGACATTAAAACATAGAAGTTGAGGTTATGTCTGTTATCAATGAAGCAGAACCTTAGGACAACAACAACATTGTGACACCTGGTATTGAGATTACCTTGGGTAACTAGGAGTTGACACTTATAAACTCTTTATTGATGGCAACTAAGATGACAGAAACAGGTAACTTCTCGGCCACATGTTAGTATAATTTTTCATAGATAAAGATATGTCCATTTATGTTCCATAAATTGAAATGTGTTCTGCAAATGCTGGTCACAACAATTAATGGCAAAACTACCATATTATTGACAATACAATCACATCCCCCTTCTGGCAACCCCCTGATAAATCTTTTGGATAGGGGGCGGCGCCGAAAAAGTGGTCACTTTTTTAAACAACATTTCTCAAACAAAAACAAGCCTTTTTAGGGGCCTACTATTTTAATAAGGCATTTTTTCACCATTTGAGACAACAAAAAGGTGGGAGTGAAAAAGGCCTTAAAAGGTGTGTATATCTGGTAATGGGTTAACCACTTTGAAACTCACTGTATAGCACAAAAAAGTCATCATATTACTGATAAGTAATTTTATCCTAAACTCAAATTACATATACATTTTTTCAATTAATAAATGCATTTTTTGCACTATTAAAAATATACTAAACTACATATCTCAAGGTACTTAAGTGTAATGTTAGTGTCATACTGTACAATAATGTACACATAGTGACATCTTTATTGATTTTTTTTCCAATTTTAAAATTGTTACTTCATTCAATCAGACAGACATTTGTTTTCTATGCAACACAGCAGTTAAAATAATACAGCGATTTAGTTGTTTTGAAGTTCGTCTGTTGCTTGAAGATACCTTAGAGAACATGCAAACACCACCTGGGGAATTCTAATTTAAATGGTCATGCGCAATACCCCATTCCCCATTCCAGGTAATCAATACTTTCGAACAAGATATTTGCAGACAAGGTGGAAAAGGTAAGGAAGTTCTATTTCTTTGATAAAATCATCTTAACATTTCTTACTGGTACTAAATTATATTAAAAATAACAAGCAATTATCATAGTATTGCAAGCAATCCATAAGTCCCCTACCAGTTAGAATCCCAGCAACATTCTGATGGGCCATTGGCCATTCAATTATGCCATTGTATGAATGAATGACATAAATGAACTTTAATCTTTCTAGTTCTTAGTTTGTCTGTATCATAAGTAATGTGTTAAGTTTCTCTGCCTAGTAAGGAAATTATGTTTATACAACAGGTATTTAAAAGATCCATTTTCTCAGGATAAATATGTATAACTGAATGTTTCAACTATTCTCTATATCAAGTAAATTTGTTGGAAGTCATCTGAGGAAACAGTTTTTATGAACAGACAGACAGACTTAAGGACACTCTAAAGTTAATTTTTTAAACATCCTTGTTACCAAAATATAACATTTTTAGAAGCAATATTCTTAAAGAGGAGATAACTCTTGAAATAAAGATGCTAGACTTATGAACATTGTCATACATGGTGTGAGTGTAACAAAGAACAATTATTTTAATTTTAAAGATACCATTTATAGTCACAAAGAAGAAAAATGAAAAAAAAAATGAAAAAAAATGAAAAAAACAATTTTCAAATATCCCTATAACATGTATAATAACAAAGATGAAAAATTTAAAAAAAATATGTATATAATGTAGGTGTTAGATAATAAATGTTTATTTGAATTTGAAGTAAATCCATGAAGAATAAGAAAGTTAAAGAATGAATAAATGTTTTTATTGCAGTTTAAAAGTTATTAATGTACTGTTAAATTAGTTGTGTCATAGTTTAGCACTTGAAGTGTATATGTTATTGATAGGTGGATAGATACGCCACTCGAGGGCTTCCCATTGTACTGTACAGTTTGTATTGCCCACCCACTTAACCATTGTGAGTCTTAGACAATATGTTCTGACTTAAATAGCCATTGTTTTATTTAGTTAAATCAAGATACGCCAAATGTTATAAAATATAACAGTAGTCAGTGAATTAAGCACGTTTTTAACTTTACTGGCGGTGAAGATTTTGGTTGTTGTTATCCGCAGGTATAGACATGTTAATAATCAAGATAATAGTTTTTTTACAGGCTGTGTGAGTTAGTTCAGAGGTTCATCTTCGGAAGACTTTTGTATTGCTGTGTATAAAATGATACTGAAACAATGCAAGGGAATTCATCCTATTTTAGTGTTGTTGTTTATTCTGTCCCAGACTAAAGGTCTTATAACTCTTATTAGGTAATAAATTATTTATTTTCGTTCAAGTGAAGTGAATTAGAAAATAAGAAAAATTGAAAGTTTAAGGAGGAGTTAATTCTGGAAATATGGATTCTAGATTTATAAACCTTGTCATCTTATTATGATGTGGGAGTTTGAATTAAACCCAGGAATGAAGAAGTTGGAGCAAAAAATACCAGTTGGAGCAAAAAATACCAATTTCTCAAAAAAAAATTCAAGGGGGACATAATTCTGCAAATAGTCTTGCTAGAGTATTGAACCTTCTAACAAATGATTTGAGTGATAATAAGAAACATAATATATATATGAAGTTTGAAGTAGATACATTAAGAAATAAAGAAGTTATCAAAAAACAACAACATTTTTTCATGAAAATTCTAAGTTCAAGGGAGGTAATTCTGAATTTTTGTGCTAGAGTTGTAAACCTTGTTACATATGATGTGGTTGATGACCAGAAACTAATATTTGAAGTTTGAAGTAAATACAAATGTACATTAAGAAATAAATAACTTATAGTGAAAAAGCGTAAAAACTAGAATCAGAAATCTTGACAAGGTTCAGCCGACGTTTGGGAAGTATGACAGCTCTCAATATTCTCCCTTTAGTCAAGATTAAAAAAATGTGTATCATCTCCATACTACCATCTATCCAAGTTTCATAAAAAAAATCAGATTTTTTACTAATCACAAAAATTGTTATATTTGCCATGTTTTAAGCCTATTTGTTGCCATAGCAACCAATTTATTCAACATAGGAAGAAGAAAAAAGACATACATAATCTCCAGATTGCCATCTACCCATATTTCAAGTTTCATTAAAATATTTCAGTACTTTTTGCGTTATCACTGGATCCAGTTTATTGTTAAATTTGCCATATTTTCAGTAGCAACCAGAATTTTCAACATAGGAGGAAAAGAAAAACCATAATTTTCAACAATCTCCATACTGCCATCTATCCATATATCAAGTTTCATAAAAATATTTTCAGTACTTTTTGCGTTATAGCAGGATCCAGTTTTGTGGACTGACTGACAGATGGAGGGTAAAACTAAAGTTTCCTCCCGTTAAACTGGTAGGAGACTAAAAAAGGTCCATAAGACTGCTATGATATTTTGAATAAACATGAAAAAAGGTGCATCATTCGGGCCTATATTTCAATTGAAAAGTAAAGGAGCACATCGAAAACATGGTTACATTTGTATGCTGGACAGGTACCTAACTTTGATCTGTCAAAGTTTTATACTCCTCAGTAGAAGTGAAATTTGTTATTTTATTTGTTAAAGAGTGTAATTTAGGGGAAACTGCTAGGAAACCAGTAGACTTCAGAGACAGCTATGAGATACAAGGGAATCTGGGAACCAGTCCCTAGCTCTTATTGAATAGTCTCCTTAATTGGTTGTTTTACATATACATTGTATGCCCAGTGTACAGCACTGATACATGCAAGGATTACCTGACCAACCTGATGATTTATAAATGTATGACAAAATTACAAATCTTTTTATCAAAATATTATTTTTACCAATCTATCAATATCAAGGCCCTAAATGGCATTAAACGGTCCTTTGTGCCTCCTTCGCAGTGTTTGTAGTCAAAATATACTCAACAAAATTAAATAGGGGTCATATAAATTATATGTATATTTAATATGAACATATTCATTTACATTTGTTGAAGTACATACATTAGTAAGTCCATTATCTACTGACACATTTCGATGCAAAAACAAAGGTATTCCATTTAATCAATGAACTAGGTTTCATCTCTCTGTTCACTGTGTCCAAAATGTTTCTTTAATTAAGGTTATGGGTGGGGTAAAAGATTTTAAAGTGTCAAGTTTCTGTCATAGAAATTGCCTCAAAAGTGAGTGTGACCTCCCCTAGCCCTGATCAATTCCTGAATACGGGTTGGAAAGTTCCTGATAAGTGTCCGGATGTCAGCAAGTGGCATCAATGTCCATTCCTGAACAAGAGCTTTGGCGAGCTCAATTCTTGTTGAAGGTTGTGGAATCCAGGCTTTAATTTGCCTCTGCAGAATGTCCCATGCATGTTCCAAAGGATTAAGGTCTGGAGACTGTGCTAGCCAGTACATCCACTCGATTCCTTGTTCATCGAGAAAAGCGTTTACGATTCTGGCGCGGTGTGCAGTGGCATTATTGTCCATAAGAATAAATTCCTGACCTACAGTACCAGCGTAAGGAACAACATATTATGCGAGTATCGCTGACCGGTAACTGAGCCATTCATAAACACATGTAGGTCCATATGCCCATCGTAAGAGATGCCAGCCCAAACCATAACTGACCCGCTTCCCCATTGGTCATGTACAGCTGGCCTCCTAGCAATAAAATTAGCCTCATGAAGTCTGTTTCTATACGTTTGAACTGAAATATTCACATTTGTTGCCCTTGCAAAATCTCTATTCAATGAAACAGCAGACAGGGCTTTTTTTTCTCCTATAACAGGGGCCGGTATAGGGCTGCTTCCCCAAAGAAAAAATCTTTAAAATCATGCAGCTTTCCCCAAAAATTGAATTTACATCAAGTTTTTTTCCCCTTTTGCAAATAAACCATGTAATTTTTCCCCAAAATTAAGGGCTGGGCTGCTTCCCCAATCTGTGAAAAAAAGCCCTGGCAGAATCAAATCGCCTTCATTTCGCCATTACTACCATATCGTTCTTTTCGGGCAGATAAAGCCCTCAAATGACCATTTCCTGTTTGTCTAAATGCAGATCCGGCAGCCAGGTACCTTGTCCATTAGCGCTGAATGACGCTTTGATTGGTGCTGTGGGCCTGTGCCACTTGACGCTGACTTTGACCAGCTAGCAAACGTCAGAGGGCTTGTGCAGCCTCATCTCGAGTCGGGTGACTCCTCTGCATATTTTGTGATAAAGGTCTATGAATTTGAAGCACAGAAAAAAAAACTGTGTTAAAACTTCAGGGTTATAAAGGAATAAAAATCAGGTTGGATATGATATCTTCATTTTCAATGCAATTTTTGAAGGTACATGTCTTTCTGGTCGTTTTGCACGGATTTTTCGATATTTTCATGGTTATGAAATCTCGATGCTAACAGTACATGGGTGCGCAACGTGAAAGTGATGTATTTAAATCAAAATATAAAGTTATTATCAAAATACCCTAAAATATTTTATTGACCCTTATTTTATTTTGCTTAGTGTATATTGACGTGCCAAAGCTAGATTTTGCCCATACTCAAAGTCAAAATACAATACATGTAGCAGTTGAATGGTAATATCACGCCAGTGTCACTTACCGTCCACCTGCCCCCCTGTTGCACAAACACCATCTGAATTACTTCCAGACATTATAAATGTTTGAATTCTCCCTAATGTACAAATAGCATTGGTTTTAATAGTTCATTTTGCTACCACAACTTCCCTATTATGTTTTGTCATGTGATAGGCTACTCCCCATGAAAGATAACTCTGTTTACTTTCGGTTTGTAAACTGCCGGTCTAAAACCACTAATACTACTACGTACGGAATATCACATCATACAGCTTCTGAATCAAATGTACATCTTTTTGTACTTACTTTTTTTACCAGGAGATAATATTGTCCCCGTTAAAATGTAAGACCCAAAGTTAAAAGCTAAATTGCAGGTGAATCTCACAAACCTGTGATGTGTCTTAAATTATTGAGCATTGAGCATTACTGTAGTCGACTCTAACATGATCGGCCTCTCCGGCATGAATTTATTTCAAAGAGAACCTGTTAGACCCAATTTGTGAGCTTTACGCAAGAATCCCATGGTAGCTTCGACAAAGATATAGTGTAAAAATGGTCTCAAATTGACCTTCAAATACTCATCCATAGCGATTACATATCCAATCTAGTGCCAGCCTTCATTCTTCTCAGAAAGACTGGTATCTGTTGAAATTTATAAAACTTATTATACATTGTATATTTTCATTTTTGATACATGCACTCTGTGATTTTTTTTTTAATGTTATATAATGTTATACTTATATGCTTTTTCCAAACGCTTTCCATAATTAAACCTGGGACAGAAAGATACTTTTTAGTCCCAGTCCTCTAATAAAGATAAACTGCAGTATATATTGCAAAAATGGTCTCAAATTGACCTTCGAAATCTCACTCATAGCGAGGCCATATCCAATCTATATTTATGTTCTAATAAACAATGCATTATAGTATTAATATGTTCCACTCAAACATTTTGTGAACACTCAACTCAAACATTTTGGGAATCATATCATATTAATATGTTGCTAATGTTTTTAGATTTATGTTTATGCATGGTTATTATGCATTATTACAATACAAATTTAAGTAGATAGCAACAATCAGCAAACAAAATTATTTTTCTAATATAAAAAATACATTTCAAGTTTTAATTGATAAAAGTTATTCTTTAACGTGCCCGGTGAAGGCCTGTGTAGAACACCAATACAAGAAAGTTTTATCTTTTCAACATTTTCATTGCCCTTGAGGATCCGCGCATTTCCACATTTTTACATCACTAATATCTATAATTTCTCGCGGCATTTTGATCATAATTATGAGTAAACAGAGATGCACGTACATGTTGTACGACACAACATTTGACGTACCGCTTTTATTTTCTTGTTGCTAGATCGATGTTTTAATATGTTTAAAATATAGCTGACTTTCTTTTTTTTAAAGCAAGAAATGAAAATCCGCTTATGTTTCCAAAATATGAATTTAAAGAACTTTCAAATAATATAAGAATCTAAAAGATCGATCAAAATATAAAAAAAGTTATTAGAATATAAAAATTCTGTTGCTATATACATGTATAATGTATAAATATGGTAGTAGGTGCTTGTGATCAAACGCACTTACTCGGCCCTTTCCGTCAGTCTTCGGATAAGGACCTTGAACACAATACAAATGTAGTATGAATACACAGAACGGATGCGGTATTTCGGTCTAACCTAGGCTAAGAAACTAAACATGTAAACAAGTAGTAATTTAATGCTGTGGGTTGTTGACGAGTTTATTTCCAATATATGTAGTAAAAGTCCACCTAAAATAAGTGAATTCATAGATACAAAAGCAAACAATACATTATTTATATATTTATTATTATGGTTGTAGATAGTACAAAAATCCAACCTGTTGACATTTAGTCGGATTTGTTTAAAGTTGAACATCAGTGGGCATATTTAAATTAGGCCTACACATTGTTGTCAGACATTTTTTCAAGCATAAGCGTACCGGAACAGACATTAGATGTCAAATATATAGAATCTACATTCGTTTTACATTTTCTCTGTTTTTGTTTACATCTGAAACCACGTGTCAGAACTACTTTCAATCCTTGTTTCCAAGGTTATTATAGATAATAGCCGAGGCAGTTCTGAATGTGCTTGTAATGTTATCAGTCAACTTGTCTATAGTAGCGTTCAACCCTCAAAGAAGTGATATTACAACAACAGCTTATTACGTAGCACACAAACAACGTGATTGCGAAAGAAGTGAGATTTCATTATTCAAGCAAATATTCACGCAATCCTTACTATTTTATTACAGCATTCACCGTTATTTTTACAGTAGTGATGGCAGTTCGCACACAGTTTGAAGGAAATAACGAGATAGGTGTGTTTTCTAAACTGACGAACACGTACTGTCTCACGGCAATAGGAGGTTCAGCAAATTTCTATAGGTTGGCTTTAACTTTATCCATCGTTAATGTCGCGATATCAGTTACCTGGCATGTAGTTGGGTTTATAATTTTCAGGTCCAGTATTTCATGTTAATACGTTAGATATTTCATATTCATAGTATATTTCACTTTTATTTACTTTGGAAGTTATTTATGTTTCTAACCAAGAAACAGCTATAATTTTTTGTGATCGTTCGTTTACCTTTTAGAGATGAATCGCCATGATGGCTACAGTAAAGTAAGTACGAAAATCGATCTTTGTCATCTCCAGACAGCGATTAGTTGCAGTTTATTAACGTCAATTGAAATCATTTACATAATTATTAATTTCAATTCTCAACACCTTTAAAATGAAAAACAGCACGAAATTCAAAATATTTGTTGTTGGACTCTATTTGCGTCAGTACACCCATAAACACTTTTCATATGAACTAGGTAAATAACCGAGATATATCGAGTGAAAAAATACGAGTTGTTTCCCTTATCTTCGAGTAAAATTGGTATCTCATACGCTAGAACAATACAAATTAAGCCATTTTTAAACCGCTAGTTTGTTGTGATTAAATGTCCGATTTTAAAAATTATTACATCAATGGAAAGCTTGGAATCTTAGCTTTGTCACAGTATATAACTTTACATATCTTTTGACACCAAAGTATTTAAATTAACTGTTAAACCTACCATATGTCAGCCTATTTTACATACCATTTATATAGTGAGATATGCAAACAGTTATCTTTTATACTGGAAAACCTACTGATAAGAAAAGCCTGTCGTCTGCTAGTTGGGAAAAGTGTTTATTGGTGTATTACAGACAGTAAAAGTTTGTCACCCAGTAAGGAAAGTTTGCATGTTCTGTGAAATGTATTTTTTTGTTAAGGCTAATTGATTTTGATTTAATGTTCAATATGTATCTATTTAAAAATAAAATTATAAATATATAAAAGACATGATGCCAGGGTTCTAGTGAGAATGCATAATTTTATTTTTTGAAATCGACGAAAACAAGCTTTTTTGACCGTTAAATGATTATTTTTATTGCATGTGCTTAATTAACAAATAAATGATTTAATAATTCATCTTTCATACAAATAAAACAACAAATCATAAGCATAAAATACAACAACATTATAAATGTAACTTTGACACTTATCAAGATGACAATTCTGGTATTTCCATCTTTTTTTTTTGTGTGTGTTTTTTTTTAAGTCAGAGTTTATAGACAAAAAATAACATATGCATTTTGACATTCATGTAAGTTGGAAAGTGCCATACGGCTAGACAAAACAGTGTGTCCTGGCTAGCCGTACATGACTCACAGCTAGAACTTTTGGCTAGCTGTACGGGCCCGTACGGCTAGCCACTTCCATTTACTTTACCTTCTAAACCTGTGAAAACTTTCTTATAGCATTCAAAATAAAAGTATACTTGATAATACACCCATTGACAGTCTCTATGAACTACTTAAATAACCGAGGTGTATAGAGTTGTTTAGCTTATCTTTGAGTAAAATTGATATCTCTAATGCTAAAACAATGCAAATTTAGCCGTTTTTAAATCGCTAGTTTGGGGCTATTGAATGTCCAATTTTAAAATTTATTGCACCAATGAAAAGCTTGTGATCTTAACTTCGTCTCAGTATATATTTCAACACATTGTTTGACACTGAAGGTATTTAAATTTACCGTTAAACCTACCACATGTCAGACCATTTTACATATGTTTTATACATTGAGGTACGCCATTGGTTATTTTTACTCGCAATTCTACTGATAAGAATAGCCTGTCATAGATCTGCTAGTTCTGAAACTGTCAATCTGTGTATTAAAATGTAGGAGTGACATCAAAAGGGCTGTAATCAAAACAACCATACATCTAATATCTATCTATCTATCTATCTATCTAATCTATCTAAACTGACTGACAATGTATATTTCTATTTACAGTGTATTTGAAGGAGAGTTAGGAGAGTCTATTCCTGTAGTACATTGTAGTCTTGCAGGATGCAGAATCATTGGTCGCATGTGTGTTGGTAAGTGTTATTATATAGAGTGCCATCATTATCATAGTCATGAAACTCATTGTCTTAAAAATATTTAGCCCCCCACTAATAAATGTGGTAGCATACTGTGATTGGAAATTGTTATTCAGTTCAAAGGTCACCATCATGTGACCATGGCTTTGAATACAGTCCTAAGAGTTGATGTAGATGCTGATCATGAGTAATTGATGACTTTTATGTCCAAGGGAAAGGTTATTGTGGCATTAACCACTAAAAGCTTATATATAAATCTGACCAGTAACAAGAGAACACTGGCCTGCAGTCAGTTGGGAGGTTTGTCATGACTACAAGTTAACACCTATTGATTTTGACTCAAAGGTGAAGGTCACAGTGGCATGAAAAACACTTGTCCAAGTAAAGCACCTAAGAAACAATAAGGTTTGTTTTGTTTTTTTGGCAGAAGGCCATCTAAATTATTTTTACAGGGAAAAGCAAATTTAAGAAGAGTTCATTGGTCATTATAAAATTACAAACTGAAATCTTATGATCTCATTGGCCATTCTAAAATAAAATGTAAAGGATAGTTCTTGCCATTCTTAAATGAAATTTTAAGGATAGTTCTAAAATAAAATGTACATTTTTATTAAAGAAAGTTGAAAAAGAATAAACGGGATAGTTCTTTAACTTTCTAGTTTAATTACTAACACACTTTAGTTTTGTTTAACCATACTTCATCCCGCAAAATATTTGACACTGCATTTAGGTCATGCCTGTTTAGATCTCTATACATTTTCTAGTGAACATTTTATTTTACATAAGAACTTACTGATTTTATTTTACACAAGAATTTATAATTTTTGTCCAAAATAACAAGACAAACAAAAATTTTCATGATCCTGTAAGTTTACTCATTTATGTTAGCTAGAACTTAGATATTTGGCATGTAATATTGCCTTGTGAACCTCTATCAAAATTGTTAAAATTTTGTAGAGCTGTCATTGATTCAGTGCAAAGCATATTGACGATACATCAATATCGATTGACAAATATTGGCGATACACCGGATATATTGATAAATACTCTTATATTCATGTATATTAAGTTTTACCATACCTGTTTAAATGATTTTAGTCAAATAAATGTTCTGTTCTTGCAAATATGTTGTGTTCCGTCTCTAAAGGACCTTTGCATAAAATTGTGAAAAAGCCTCTCCAAATTTACAAGGGCTAGAGCTTAGATTTTTGGCACAAAACATTGTCAAGGGGACATCTACCGAGGATGTTCATTTATAGTCCAAATGTCAAAATTGACCCTGCCTCAGAGTTTTGTGGGTTTTCCATTTATACTTAAAAATCTTCTCCAGCAAATTAACAAGAGCTAATTTAGCTTATTTATTTGTCATGAAACATTTTCTAGTGGACTCCTATCAAGATAGTTCAAATAGCACCAGGGTCAAAATCCCTCATCACCCACTCCCAGGTGTTGTAACCCTGTTCCCTAATTTATTTTACAGATGCAGTTGTGACATTTGGCCAAATGCACATTTTAAGGTGCAAAATTAAACTTGGAAATTTGTTTACCTAAATTTTGACCCAGTGACCAACAATTTATAAACAGCTGAAATTATGAAATTTGGACTTTTAACACACTTTCAGATGCAGAGTTAAACTTTGATTCAGATTTTAATTTTGACCAATTGACCAACTTTAAGTAAACAGAGCTAAAGGTATAAAATTTGAACTATTGCACAATTTCAGATGCAGAATTGAACTGTGACCTAGGTTTTGACACAGTGACCTACTTTTTGTATTGAGAGCTAAAGCATTGAAATTTGAACTACTGCCACAGATTCAGATGCAGATTTGAACTTTGATAGCAGTGAAAATAGATTTTGACCCAGTGACCTACATAGATTTTGACCCGGTGACCTACATAGATTTTGACCCGGTGACTTACTTTTTTGTAGTTAGTGCAACATGTATGTAATTTCTGCCCAGATATAAATTCTTGGACATAACTCTGAAACTACAAAAGATATACTTTTTTTTGTCCAGAACCTAGTCCGGGAGCATCACCTGGTTCAACCGGCTCTTGTTTTAAACAGTATTAGTTATAATACTATTTTGTATTAATTTAACATATTACTTTCATTAAATGTGTATGTAAATATGCAAATGATGTGTTCGGATGCCACTTATCAAATAAAATTATTTTATTAGTACAAGGCAAACAACATTTTCACAAATATCTCCTTCTGATGATTGTAAAATTGTAAATTGATAATACTTAAATCAGGGAACAGACATGGTTTACTGGTACCAACTGGCACCACAGATCAAGAATTACAACACATAAGAAACTCGATACCAGATTCTGTACAAGTGAGGAGAGTTGAAGAAAGGTTATCTGCCCTTGGTAATGTCATTGCATGTAATGATTATGTAGCATTAGTCCATCCAGACCTTGATAAGGTAAGGCTGTCTATACTGTAATCAATCCATTTTAGTAAATATTACTCGTCAGTGTTTATATGTGAGAGTACAGGGCTTGGGTTGGGTCAAAATTTTAGAGAGAAGTGACTTCTCCTTCCAGCTGATTTTTGGAGAAGTGAGGAGACTAATTAGGGAGTGTTAGGTGTCATCTGGAGAATTATAAGCTTGGAAACTTTACAAACCATAAAAGAAGTGAAAAACACTTTTCAAATAAAACAATTCCATTATAAATCTATTTTTAATAAATGTACATTTGTATACCAATAACAAACTCAATATTTACATATACTGTATACATGTAGTGAGTATGCTTAATTGTTAACAATGTTCACGGTAGATAGAGCAATTGGCAAAGAGTCAGACTGGTCATCGTCTATAACTTGCGTTTAGCGATTAGTTTATGTTTCAGTATGTTGAAATACCATTGATCACTTGAAAATTTACTTCAAATTCCATATAAAAAAGAAGCCTGCTTGATAAATAAAGCTAGTCAGATATTATTGTGTATTTCAGGAGACAGAAGAAATGATTGCTGACATATTAAAGGTGGAGGTATTTCGACAGACCATAGCTGATAATGTATTAGTTGGTAGCTATTGTGCAATTAGTAACCAAGGTGGACTGGTGCGTTATTTATTGTTTCATTAACCTGTTTATTTATATTCTTTTTTTCCCCGAAGAAATAACTTGTTATTTGATTGGTGAATGCCAGAAAGTGGCTGGCTGTTAATAATAATTTCTTCTGTGTGCAACCCTACATTTCACAAAGGGATATTAACCAAACTTTCAAACAACTTGCACATATTATCGAGGTTTTGTGAATCTGATCATTTTTGACAGAAATAAATGTTGTGTTTGTTTTCCCACATATATGATAAATGCAGCTTGGGCTAATGGTCATAGTCAGCTTTTCTGAGCTCTGTCTGTCATCCTGTGTTGTTTGTTGTTGTGAGCTCTGCCTGTCATCCTGTGTTGTTTGTTGTTGTGATCTCTGCCTGTCATCCTATGTTGTTTGTTGTTGTGATCTCTGTCTGTCATCCTATGTTGTTTGTTGTTGTGATCTCTGCCTGTCATCCTATGTTGTTTGTTGTTGTGATCTCTGCCTGTCATCCTATGTTGTTTGTTGTTGTGATCTCTGCCTGTCATCCTATGTTGTTTGTTGTTGTGATCTCTGCCTGTCATCCTATGTTGTTGTGATCTCTGCCTGTCATCCTATGTTGTTTTGTTGTTCTGAGCTCTGCCTGTCATCCTGTGTTGTTTGTTGTTGTGAGCTCTGCCTGTCATCCTGTGTTGTTTGTTGTTGTGAGCTCTGCCTGTCATCCTGTGTTGTTTGTTGTTGTGAGCTCTGCCTGTCATCCTGTGTTGTTGTTGTGATATCTGCCTGTCATCCTATGTTGTTTGTTGTTCTGAGCTCTGCCTGTCATCCTATGTTGTTTGTTGTTGTGATCTATTTCTGTCATCCTATGTTGTTGTGATCTCTGCCTGTCATCCTATGTTGTTTGTTGTTGTGATCTCTGCCTGTCATCCTATGTTGTTTGTTGTGATCTCTGCCTGTCATCCTATGTTGTTTGTTGTTGTGATCTCTGCCTGTCATCCTATGTTGTTTGTTGTTGTAATCTCTGCCTGTCAACCTATGTTGCTTGTTGTGATCTCTGCCTGTCAACCTATGTTGTTTGTTGTTGTGATCTCTGCCTGTCATCCTATGTTGTTTGTTGTTGTGATCTCTGCCTGTCATCCTATGTTGTTTGTTGTTGTGATCTCTGCCTGTCATCCTATGTTGTTTGTTGTTGTGATCTCTGTCTGTCATCCTATGTTGTTGTGATCTCTGTCTGTCATCCTGTGTTGTTGTTGTTGTGAGCTCTGCCTGTCATCCTATGTTGTTTGTTGTTGTGATCTCTGCCTGTCATCCTATGTTGTTCGTTGTTCTGAGCTCTGAATTATAACATATTATCTTTGGCTATTAAGTCTGGTTTCTTATAATTCATATCTTCTGTTTTGTTGTGATTTAGGTAGAAAGTTTAATAACGTTTGTAAAATAATAAGTTTTTTACCAGAAGCAAATTTTGAGGGTGATATATTATAAAATGGTTGATGTTACAGGATTTATTGTACAATATTAAAAAGTTACTAAATAATCTTAAGAAGAAAAAGAAGAAAATCAACTTTTTCTAACCAACACATCGGCGGCATGCCATCAAACAGGCTGTCAAATCAATTTATTAGTCCCCTACCGGTTTAACCGGAGGGGACTTTAGGTTTACCCTCCGTCGGTCTGTCCGTCCATCTGTCTGTCAGTCCGTCAGTCCATCCGTCCACAAAACTGGATCCCGCGGTAACTCAAAAAGTATTAAAAATATTTTTATGAAACTTGATATATGGATAGATGGCAGTATGGAGATTATGCATGTCTTTTTTCTTTTGTTCCTATGTTGAAAATTCTGGTTGCTATGGCAACAAATAGTCTGAAAATATGGCAAATTTAACACATAAACTGGATCCAGTGATAACTCAAAAAGTACTGAAAATATTTTTATGAAACTTGAAATATGGGTAGATGGCAGTCTGGAAATTATGCACATCTTTTTCTTTTTTTCCTATGTTGAAAATTCTGGTTGCTATGGCAACAAATAGCCTGAATATTAAAATTTTTCAGCTTTTTCACTATAAGTTCTTTATTTCTTAAGGTGTTTACTTCAAACTTTAAATATAAGTTTCTGGTCATCAACCACATCATATGTGACAAGGTTTACAACTCTAGCACAAAATGTATTACCTCCCTTGAACTTAGAATTTTTATGAAAAAAAAATGTCTTTTTTAAATAACTTCTTTATTTCCTAATGTATCTACTTCAAACTTCATATATATGTTTCTTATTATCAATTAACATTTTTGAGAAAGTTAAATACTCTAGCAAGACTATTTCCAGAATTATGTCCCCCTTGAACTTAGATTTTTTTCGAGAAATTGGTATTTTTTACTCCAACTTCTTCATTCCTTATATAACCGCCTCCGTGGTCGAGGGGTTAGAGTCGATGACTTCTAATCCAGTTACCTCTCTGGCGTGGGTTCGATCCCCGGGAGATGCTATGGTAGTTTAGCGCGGAGAAAGGTAGTCTAGTACTGGTGTAACTCTCCAGGAGCGATGGTTAGGAAACTACCCGCCTATATGACTGATATACTGTTTGGAAAAGGCGTTTAATGAAACAAACAAACAAACAATCATTCCTTATAGGATTTACTTTAAAATCCCACATCGTAATAATATGACAAGGTTGTATAAACATAATTTCCTTACTAGGCAGGAAAACTTAACACATTACTGTGATATAGACAAACTTAGAACTCAAAAGATTTAAGTTCATTCATGTCATTCATTCACTGGTAAAATTGAATGGCCAATGGCCCATCAGAATGTTGCTGGGATTCTTACCGGTAGGGGACTTATGGATTGCTTGCAATACTATGATAATTGCTTGTTTATTCAATAATTCCTAAATCGCTGACACCATTTCATTTTTTTCAGCAGCAGTTATGATAAATATTATATGCTTGTATATATTTCAGGTTCATCCAAAATCCTCCATTGCTGACCAGGATGAGCTTTCATCATTGTTACAAGTTCCCCTTGTGGTAATATATCTTACATAATATAAAACATTAATTGTTATATTGCTAACAAATTGGCTCTTCATGATAAATTTTCTTTCTGGTTTGACAGTCAACATTTGTTATTTATTATATTCTATGAAGGTAATTATACATAATGTGGAGGAGACTCTACTGGAATTACTTTGTTGTGTTGGTCGGTCGGTCTACATCATGTCCACTCTATAAATCCTAGATCCATTGAAGAATTTTCTCAAATTCAAACATCTATGTCTGCATTATAAATTTTACACTTTTCAAATGAAATTTTTCAAAATTAACTCAAATATCATCGTTGGAAAGTAATGATAAATTGCCTTACATAATATACTGTGTGGTAGAGATCTGGTGGGGTTATGTCACTCCTGTGGAAACTCTAGTTTTAGATATGTGAGGTTCAATACTTTTGAAGAATGTAAATGTAATACAGGTCAAAAATGGCCCAGTCCCCATGTGGCCCAATGACTTGCTTCTGCATTGAAGAATTACGACCATTTTCCAAAGTAATATGAAAGTTGCACTAGTCAAAAATGGCACAGACCCAAGGTTACATTGACGTGTATTGGAAACAGACCTAAAATCTTTTGTGAAACTATTATTCCAAGAGCTTGGATATTTGGCATGCAGCATCATAACATTGGTGTCTTCTGCAGTAGTTATTTTATCACAATAAAAAAACACATTTATATCTCCTTTTGTGAAACAAAAATGCACAGAGCTTAAATAATTTGCATGTACAATGTAGTTTTGACTAGTGTACTTCTACAAGCTATATAAATCATGAGTATCCCTTCCTAATGTGACCAAATGACAAATTTTTGCATTGAAAAATGTGATTAGTAAGGGAGCTAAAGTGAGAGAAGAAGGTCATGAAATGTTACTGTATAAGATTGTAAATTGTGATTCAGGCTGGTACAGTAAACAGAGGAAGTGATGTTATAGGTGCAGGGCTAGTAGTGAATGATTGGATAGCATTTTGTGGTCTCGACACAACCAGTACAGAACTGTCTGTTATAGAAAGTATATTCAAACTTGGGGATGCTCAGCCCAGTACCATTACACAGCAAATGAGAAGTTCTTTAATTGAAAGGTAAATAAAATACCAACATATAATAACTGGTCTTTTGTGACACTAGTAATGTGTTTACAATATTAATGTATAAATGGTTAATTTTGCGTGGAAATATTTGCGATTTTCGCGAATCAAAATAATTCGCAAATAATTGAGCCCGCAAAAGTTTCAACAACTTGAGTAAAGTGTTTGGTGGCCATTCAACATTTTACCATTACACAGATGCATCGGTAACTATGTACATATATCCCTTTGAAAATGATGTCTTACTAAATACAAACAAACATGTAACGCGATTTAATGTTCATTTTATATTTCACATAATTAAATAATAAGGAAAAAACTTCATAATAAATTGTCAAATTGAACATTTTCGTAAAATTTCTTTGAATACATCGCTAAAAGATAACGCTGGCTGGTTACTCCTGTTAAGAATATGAAGAGCAAGTGTCAATAACAACACCTATAGGCTATAACAAAAGAATTATTGTCGTACAGGTAATCTTGTGACAATCGATGATTATTAAAACAAATATAAACCACCTGCTTGAATCCATTTTGATTCATTAACTAGTATTTAATTATTTCATTGTCATCACAAGCGTGCTAATATTACAGGAGTTCAGAAAATCGTACTTTCTAAAATATTTCCGCTCTGAAAAAAGTCCGCAAACTTTTTGCGACGTAAAAATATTCACTTATACAGTATTAAAAATGGAGCTAATGTACATTAAATAAGTGAAGTATTGGCTATACTTGCATTGCATGTGTATTACTGAGAACTTGCTTACTGGTTAAATTGCCAAATGTGATAAAAATTGAACATCATTATTCAAATTAAAATGTCATATGATGTATTCATTTTGATTTGATCTACTTGCAATTTATATCTGACAAGCTTTCAAATTGTGTGTGTTTTGACATTTCAGTATGACATAATTATGGAGTGAAGTGAAGATTACATTGAGGTGTGATGTTATGAAGACTAAATGAAATATGAACACAGATTGGTTATACATGAGTTATCTATCTTGTGATAAACTAGGACTATCAAGGTGGTAGAGATCAGTACTGCCTATATTGAGATGTCATTGTAGCAGTGACTTCTGGGAAGTAAACGTCTTATGTTATTGTTATCACTGGGTATCATATACATGTATCATTATATTTTGAGAATGTGATAATTGCATAAAATAAACTTTAATGAAGTGTCTGTAAATTTGTTTCAAGTTATAAAGAATGAATACTGACATGTAATCAGAAATAATATAGTATTTTCATTTTGTTAAGAACATTTTATTTATGTAAAAGGAGATACTGTATTTTTACCAGCTTCTGAATCTCATTTTTATTTTTTGGTCAAAGTAATGTGAAGTTTTTCGTTAAGATAAGTCACTTATTTTTACGTAGATTCTAAATAATACATGAAGGTAATAATTTTATGTGTAAATCTACCAATTTTCTACGAGAGGAAATAAGTTTATATCAATAATGTTGTTTTGATGTAAATGTTTCAAAGTTATATATAAATTAACACATTCTGCTTTAACACGGCATGTTCATACTGGTTTATTAGTCCCCTACTGGTTTAAACGGAGGGGACTTCAGGTGTACCCTCCGTTCGTCTTTCTGTCCGTAAGAACCCAGAGGTACTTGTGTGACTTGAAGAACAATGGGTAACAGTAAATTTTCTTTGATACTATTCATTCTCTTTTTACTTGTGTGTCTTTTTTTAAGCTTTGTGTGACTAAAAATGGCCAAAAAGATCAGAGGAAATGTCACACAAGTACCATTTTGTGAGTATGTCCGCCTGCGTGTCCGTCAGTCTGTCCGTCAACAAATCTTGATCCCATGATAACGCAAAAAGTACAGAAAATATTTTTATGAAACTTGTTATATGGATAGATGGCAGTCTGGAGATAATGCATGTTTCTTTTCTTTTCTACCTATGTTGAAAACTTTTGTTGCTATGGCAACAAATAGACTGAAAATATGACTTATTTAACACATAAAATGGATCCAGTGATCACGCAAAAAGTACTGAAATTATTTTTAAGAAACTTGAAATATGGGTAGATGGCAGTAGTGAGATTATGCACGTCTTCTTCTTTTCTTCCTTTGTTGAAAAATGTGGTTGGTTTGGCAACATGTTGGCTTTAAATATTGCAAATATATCAATATTTGTGATTACTCAAAAAAGTGCTGTAGACATTTTTATGAAACTTAAATTCCGGATAGATGGCTGCATAGTATGGAGCATCATTTAAATCTTTACTATAGGGAGTATAATGAGAGCTGTCGTACTTGCCAAGCATCAGTAACCTTGAAAACATTTCTGATTCATTTGTTTACGCTTTTTCACTATTCAGTTCTTTATTTCTTAAGGTATTTACTTCAAACTTCAAATACATTGTATATATATTTTTTTCTGGTCATCAACCACATCATATGTGACAAGGTCTACAACTTTAGCACAAAAATTATCGGAATTACCTTCTTTGAACTTAAAATTTTCGTGAATAAGATGATTGTTTTATTAGAATTTCCTTATTTCTTAACATATCTACTTCAAACTTCATATATATGTTTCTTATTATCCCTCAAAGGTTCAATATTCTAGCTCGACTATTTCCAGAATTATGTCTCCCTTGAACTTAGATTTTTTTCCAGAAATTATTATTTTCTACTCAAACTTCATCATTTCTTATTGCATTTACTTCAAACTCCCTCATCATAATAATATGACAAGCATCATAAATCTAGCGTCCATATTTCCAGAATTATCTCCTTATTCTTTAAATTTTTCTTATTCATTCTTTAACTTTCTTATTTTTACATGGATGTACTTAAAATTTAAAATAAACATTCATTATCAACAACTACATCATATGTGATTAGATTTATAAGTTATGGGTTTCCATGATAATTTTCAATTTGTACTAGAAATTTATTTGATTTTTTTTCTTCTCTGTTACTATAAATGGTATACTTGAAGTTTTTTGTTTTTTCACTTTTCTTCTTTGTGACTATAAATGGTATCTTCTTTATACTTTAGATAATTGTTCTTTGTAACACTCACACCATGTATGACAATATTCATAAGTCAAGCATCTTTATATTTCAAGAGTTATCTCCTCTTAGTTTCAGAATTTTGCTTTTAAAAATGTTATTTTCTGGATACTTCTATGGCAGTCATTTACGATAAATTATTTAGGAAATATTAACCAGAACATGTTTCAGGAGTGATGATATGTCAGATAATGAATGTCTTTGTACCATTAAATGTAACAATTTTCAACCGTTTGTTTTCATTGTATGAATACTTATAGCAAATACATAAATTGTATGTTCCCCAAGATCATTATACTGTCGAGCCAGCTTGTGTTGACATAGACTTAGTACTTTTGCGTAAAGTTTGTGTATGTCCGTGAGAATAACTTCCACATGCATGGAGGGGTTTTGATATAACCTGGTCATATGTTGTCTTAAGCGAGGTGGAGTGTTGCACGAAAAATTCAGGTGTCTGTGGTCAAGTTCACAATTAGGGGTCAAAGGTCAAGTAACAAAAAAAAACATTCATTTGCGAGTATAACTTCTATATACATGTATGGATTTTAGTATAACTTAGCACAAATACCCTCCATGTTGAGTAGAGATGTCTGGTTCGAAATAGAGGTCAAGGTCACAAGAATAAAATTTGTTGGTGCTGTATTTTGCTCATTCATTGAAGGATTGTGATGGTGTGTAGCACACTAAACAGGTATGCCGCTTTTGAGTGGCCAAAGCCGCCTTTGAGCGATCAAGGCCACTTTTTTCTGGGGTCAGTGCAAAACCCGTGTCCTACATGCATGGCGGGATTTTAATATAACTTTGGACAAATTCAGGTGTCTGTGGGAAAGGTCGAGGTCTTGCATTAGGGTCAAAGGTAAAAAAAAATTTAAACTTTCAATTGTGAGTATAACTTCTATATACATGGATGAATTTTAATATAACTTAGAACAAAAGTTCTCTATGGAGACTTGAGTTGTCTGGGGCAAAATGAAGGTCAAGGTCACAAGAGGTCAAATCAAAATTTGATTGTCCTCGCTGCATCTTGCTTAAGCTTTGAAGAATTATGCTATGTTTTTGGATTTTTGTTGAACCCGTTTGCCGTGAGCTCGACATAGTAGTCAAAATGGCTGTTCAGTGTTTATGTGTATGTGCGTGTATCCAAACTTGTCCATTCCATTACTTCTTTTTGCATGGAGGAGTTTCCAAATAACATGAGTTGAGTTTTTGAGGCACAAAATTAATGTTCATCATGAGACTTCCTGTCATGCACAAGAACCAGGTCACCGGGTCAGAGGTGAAGGTCACCTAAGATGATGTAATCTCAAGATTTTGCCTTGGGTATAAAGAGAATGTGTTGCACACATTTCACCTATGTACATTTGTATACATCTTTCTCCTTGATCTGACGCTTGTAGGTTCAAATTAGAAGTAAAGACAAGCAGGCTGGACATCTGCCGTGGGCATGTCTTGTATGTTACACTTGTAAGTATAGATAATCTGAACTTTTAAAAATAAGTATCTTATACTTGGAATACATTCTGTAACATAATGTTAGTTTACTTTAAACATTATTTACTCTTAATGCTTTATTTCATGTAACGCATCTTAAAGATGGCCACTCATTTACCTTTACCAACATTTAATAATTTTAACAAAAGGGCTTTGACAAACTGGCAGATCATGAACAAGAAATTCACACAATGCCTTGAATTGCTCAACAGTTTTCAGTCTAATATGGACAAAGAAGACACTGTTCTATTTTATTTCATCACTATACAGTAAATCTGAAAACCTTTCATTAAGGCCACTCTGTGACTTATTTCCTTTAAAACACATTTTTAGCTTTACTTCTTAAAAAAGAAAAGAAAAATGAAGGTATTGTCACTAGTCATGTAGGCAAGACATCTTTGGCCAAGACATTTAAGTAGACCAGACTTGCATTGACCTTCATTCATAATGACCTTGACCTTCAAGGTCAAATGTCTAAATTTTGCTACAAGTGGCTTAACTTTGTTATTTTTGAATGGATTGTCTTCAAACTTAAACATAATAATCTTGTAGGATAGACCTTCAAGTTAACGACCAGACCTTGACCTTCACCCATAAATGACCTTGACCTTGAAAGTCAAATTATTGATTTTTTTCTTTTTCTTTGCTGTAACTGGCTATAACTTAACTATTATTGAATGGATTGACTTCATATTATATAAGATCATAGTTTAGGATATGACGAACTCAAATTTACCTTGACTCTTTTAAGACCTTGAACTTTAAGGTTAAATTATTGAATTTTCACTGATATTTGCTATAATTGAATGTAACTGGGTAATGAGTACATGGACTATCTATATATTTTGATCTTGAGCTTTAAATGAACTTGACTGCCAAGGTCAAATTATTGAATTTTGGTTAAATTGTCATTACGTGTATTTTGTTATTTATGTACGGATTTGATTTAAACTTGGACAAAACAAGACTTGTTACCAAACAAACATATTGAATAATTAAGATGTGACCTTGACCTTAATTGACATTGACTGTCAATGTCAAATTAATGAAATTCTCTCAGTTTTTTTTTCTGCAATTGGCTATGACTTTTTTTATTCATAAACGGATTAATCTCTTTTAGGTCAGGACCATCATATATATCAAACTCAAACTAACATTGACTTATCTATGACCTTGACCTTGAAGGTCAAATTATTTTATTGTCACTGGTTATTGCTATAATTTGCTGTAAATATGTAAATAATCAATGAATTATTTTCATACTTGTACAAAACAACCTTTTGGACAAGACATTCTAAAAGCTGAACTGACCTTAACTTTGAGCTTCAAGGTCAAAGTGAAGTTGTCGTTATTTTGATATGTATGTACGGAATTGATTCATGTGTAAACAAAACTACACTTGTTACCCAACCAACCTAGAATAATTTAGATATAACCTTTTTAAACTGTCACTTATTTATGAAAAGGATTCATACAAGAAGAGTGACTAGACAGACCTTTTAAAATTAAAAAAGGAAAACCTTGATTTTTTTCTCAGGGCTGGGAATCAAAACTGCGTCGTATCCTACAAAATGTAAACAAACGCCGCCATCTTGGAACGAAAAATGTATCTTTTAGTTTAAAACTCTTTTTGTTGGAAATGACTGAAAACCAGATATATGTATTAACACGCTACACTATTTTCCGCTTTGTTCGGTATATGTTGCTTGCACAACTATTTTGTTTAACAAAAGTTATAGCGAACTTGCAACTCGAAGCGGAGCAAATTTTTTATGAAATTGTGTTGATACGACGCAGTTCATATTGCTTTATGTATCGTTTTTTCCTTCAAATCAATTATATACTCATTTTCAGAGTTCACCATAAACTTCAAAACATAATTTTGCGTCATTTACTAAACTTTCATCAAAAAGAGATGTTTATTTTTCCAAGAAAATAATGATTTTACGAAATGATACGACGCAGTTGAAAATAAATATGATACGACGCAGTTGTATTTTCATTGCAGGCTGCATATTGGTTAAACTATTTAAATTATGTGCTAGGTTTTGCTAATAACGCCCAACAACATTTTCTTGTTTACAACTTAAGTCAAAAGCAGAGGTCACTCATTGGTTCCATAAAAATGGAAATGTAATACAATTCTATTAAGGCTACATTTTTCGGTCGCATTTTAGTACCTATCATAAGCATCTACAAATTCCGAAAAGCTGTATCAAATGCAATATACATTGAAACACGCGATCGCACACCCATATGACAACGTGTTCCAGTGTTGCCTAAGTATGCTTCTAAAATTGTTTCCATGAGTTCGAAATGGGAGTGATTACTATTTTTGATACAAAATTCAATATTCCAGTGTAACCTCTCCTGAACCCTGTATTAATCAGGAATGACCTTTTTTTAAAAAAAAAAAAGAGAAAGAATTACAAATTTTGAAAAGGTCTCAGTGCGAAGAGAGCTATGCGCAAATTGCATGCCTACCTTTGTTACTTGTAATAGCAACAATTTCCGTCAATTCCGTTATTACTTATGTCTTTTACGTGCCGATTTTATTGTATTCATTTTCTTAATAATCGATGAGAACACATGAGCTTTATTATTTGAAACTGAACATTGAATTTCTAAAATTATATTACAATATATTTTTGCAAGTAGGTTATGCGTTCCGTTTAGTCATTTAATTTTCAGCGCCGCGGAACTTTACCGCTGATTTTGTCGTATTGCATTTCTTTATCGCCGATGAGGAAAGGTCTACGGAATGTATTTTCTATATTTGCATTTAAGTATCATTCTTCTCCATTAAAAAACTTTAAATTTCCAAAATCGAGTTACATATGATACAACTACAAATTATTTTGTAAAGAATGTGTCCGTTTTGCAAGGGTAATTTACGCTGTGCACGATAAATTTGATACAGATATAGGCAGACACCATCTTTCAACAGTATTGAAGAATTTTTACAATATTGAACAGAAAATTTACTGGTCAGATTATCGCATCGAATTTTCAACAGACTAGAGACATGGCATCTTAACATACCTTCATACCAAGTGTGATTTTTATTTGATTTTTATTTGATAATGAATTGCCTGAAAACTTAAACAAAAGTTTTCAGAAAATGACTTCACAGAGGATTACCCCCTGTTTACATTGAATATTTCTCTGCTAGTCATATCGAAATAAGACATTTAAATGTTACTCTCTTTATAATTAATTCAAATAATTATAATCTTAAAACTTCACGCCAGAAGTTAATAAAAAAGCTGCTTATTTGTACAGCTGACGTTAACAAATTTTGTTGAAAAAAAAACAAATCAGACAGGTGTGTCCGACCGAGGCCAACTGTTTATGTTTACTGAATTCAAATCACTTGAACTGAACTGCTATGAATTCGAAAACCACCAGGGACTTTTTATTCTTTCGTGTGGAAAACCTATCAAGCTAGTTTCAAAATGTCGATGGTTCTCTGCAGGTGCAACATTTTGCCTAAAATAATGCACAAAGGCGCGCCTGAGGTCCTCGCCCCTAGTAAAGCTAATGTGTAGAGTGAAAGTATGAACACAAAAAAGCAGTCATATACCTAGAACATGCAGAACCACAGTTAACTTGGAGCGTAGCTAGCCAAAATGAATTCAAGTTAATAGATTTCTACATTTTTTTTGCAAAAAAAAATTAGGGATAATATTGAACATACGGGAAAATATAAGAAATTATTTCAGATATTATGATCAATTA